GAAGACCAGCTGGCCACCGTGCGCACATTCACTGACCAGCTGCTCTCTTCTGGCTTCCGGCACTCTGGCGTGCACGCTCCAGTTTCAGCACACGGTGACAAAAAGGTTAGCCATCACTGTTATAGAGAGTGACAAACAGTTTAGGAGTAGCCCATGTACTACTCCTTTTATTAGCTAGTTTCCTGTTTCTCTCCCCCTACCCCAACTTGATATGGCTGTGAAAATGTAGAGGAAGGTAAAATAACTTAAAAGATATCTACTGGTTTATTTCTGAAAAATTTGCAGAATTCTTGGAATAATTCCCAAATTTTGCAAAAAAAACCCACCCTCAGTTCTCAGTCTAAAACACTACACCCAGCCCACCTCTTTTGCATTACACTAATTTGGCAGATTAAAATTTGCTATATTATTTTGTCACACATTGTATGATAAACTTTAATTTAATTATGAATACAAATTATAGTTCACTGAACTGATTGAAAATCATGTCCCAACGAGAGTTAAGTTACATTGCACCCCAAAATTAAAAATAATTTCCTTCATAAATCTAAAATTTGAACTGGAGAATAATTGTATCAATGGTAATCAGCAGTAAGAGCTTTATGCTTTTTCTTCAGGAAACTCTTCAAAATCAGCAGATGTAGGAAAGACGGTGTATGATTATAGATTTGATTCCTGGAACACTAATGACTAAATACTAAGCATTCCCATTGATCCTGTGCTGCCATCTAGTGTCTTCAAAGTGATAATAGCTGTGTCAGGCCCAAATCTGAAACATCATTTTATATATATTACGATCCAATCTTTCTTTCAAGTGCATGCTCCCAAACAGATTTTTTTACTAAGACTTTCATGAAACACCTGGGAAGAGTCAGGCACTTTCCTTCTGTTTAATGTTTCTTTCCAATTTTATTAATGTCTCAACAAAGAAGGAATAGGGATGCTCAGTCTTTGATAATTCCAATGCAGAAAGTGGTTCTAACCCTTGGATTCACCTTCAACAGACACTCAGCAAGTATTTCTCACAAAGATGCCTGGGTACATGAAGCTTATGAAATTCGTACTCAAGTGCACCCTTGCTGTGCATTTTCAAAATCTTAGTTTTAAAAATCTGGCTGAAAGGATGATCCTAATATCCTGTTGCCATTCTTCTCTTTGAACTGGCTCAAGCAAAAAAATTCAGAGACAAAGAGTGACATTTTTTTTATCAGCAGCTTAGCATCCCATCCTAGCCCTGGTTTCAAGGGATCCTGCTGAGTAGAAGATACATAGTTGAGAGTATCTAAGTTTCCAGGAACTTAAACGCGATTTCTTGATATCTCAAACTTCAGGGAAGTCAGCAAGTCTGACCCAGACAAGTAAACACCTTAATCCGACTACCAAATCTGAAAACCATAAGCTAACTGCAATTCTCAGTTGTAAGGTCTAGTAGCAGGTTTGGTGGGTGGGTGGGTGGGGGATATCTTTGGACTTTGCCGTCTCTTATTTTACACTCCCTGTACTTGACAGGGCACCCACAATTTTTATCATCAGGGAATTGTTTGGTTTTTCTGGTTTTACATGTATATCATCTCAGTTCAACACCAGCCCACATTTACAGCTATTCGCAGTGTCCCGCAGCCACATGGCCACAATTCACATTTTTTCTGAAAAATCAGTGTTTACTTCAGGGGTGTCAAACTTGATTTCATTGAGGGCTGCATCACGGTTGTGTTTGATTGCTGAGGGCCGGGGGTGAGCACGGCCAGCTCAACATCACACATGTCAGGGGCGCCTGTGGTGGCCTGAGCGCTCTGCCAGTGAAAACGGGCTCCTGAGCTCTGTTTTCACTGGCAGAGGGTTGCAGGAGGCTGTGGCAGCCAAAAACGGAGCTCAGGAGGCCGTTTTCACTGGCAGAAGCACCACAGGCCAGGCCTCCGCTGTTTCCATGGCAGCCCCACAGGCCAGATTTAAGTACCCCGCAGGCTGGATCCAGTCCCTGGGCCTTGAGTTTGACACCCCTGGTTTATTTCTTGTTTCTGATAAAAATGACCCATAGCAAACAATGGGTTTGCTTAATAACTGCGGCATTTACTTTAAGACTGCTATGTTCACTTAACAACTGCCTCAAAAAAGAAAAAAAGGTTTGTAAAAATCAGGTCAGCCACATGATGCGCTGCTTTTCAAGCATCCCAACTTATTGTAATTGCAGATTCAATTACGGTCATAAGTAGTAGTTCTGCATCCAATCTTTACCAATCTGAAATCAAGGTTAGGCACAGTTGATGTGTTTTTAGCTGTTCCCTGGAAGTAGGAATATGGAAAAGATTTAGCAGCTTTCTAATCTCTTTCTCCTCTATTTTGGTTTGGACTGTGCTTCAGGGAAGGGGCTTGGCAGTACAGGAAACCAGGCATTGCTTCAGCCCCCAAATTAGGAATCTATAAAATCTGTAATCTTATGTAGGGCCAAGCATTATTCAGAGTTTTAACTATGATGTGTTACTCCAATAAGTGGTTGGGACCAGAACAATGGAATTGGCAGGGACACAATCAAAGCTAAATGCAATTTGTTAATTAAATTCATTAATTTAAGCTACTGAATCCCAATGCATGTAATAATTCCTATTTTCTCTTATAGTATAAACATTTAATTGGATGATAATTTTTCAGAGGACTCCAGATGCCACACCTCTTCTCTCAGAGGTGAACTGGATACAATTAAATGTTCTCATTTTCCAAATGTCTTTATTTAAAATTTCCCTTCAAATGCTTGAAAAATGATTGCTGCTAACCTCTTTAAGGATTTGTGTGCTTAATTGGGAGTTGATAGATTTTTAAAACACTGGAATAGCTGTAATAACAGCTTTTAGTTTATATACTCCTCAAGTTTTCAGGGGAAAAAGTGTTTTCTGCATATATCCCCATGCAATTGTGGAAAAGCATTAATTTGGAGAAGCATGGAATATGGCCCCTGATATGCCTCAAGTCTCTAATTTAGTCTTATTTGAGACAAATGTGCTGCTTAAATGATGATTTATCATTAAGTGCCTATTTAGGCAGAAGGCAGCTGCAGAGTAAGATAACACTGCCATCTTGTGACTCATTAAGTACACAGCCAAGTGTTAAAATGCTATGCATGCTGCTGATTTTTTGCAATTTAAAACCTGCTGTACAATATGCCTTTGAGGCTCAATTCACACATCTTAAAATAGATCTTTGTAGGTAGACATAGACATTACCATGAGAACACAGGCAAGTCTGGGTACAGATCCATTTTTCCGTTTACAACATAGGGAGAGGGACAAGCCCTGCCATGCTTGCCTGCCTTCCACGTGGCCTTCCGTTTGCCTGACTTTGCAAGCTGGCCACCGGGACATCGGGAAGGCAGCATGGAAGACAGGCAAGCATGGCAGGGCTTCAGGGAAAGGAGTAAGCTTCTAGCTCTCTTCCCCGCAGCCAGGTGGCCCTGCCATGCTTGCCTGCCTTCCTGGCGGTCCCCGTGGCCAGGCCCACTTGGCTGCCTTCGCAAGCTGGCCACAGGGAAGGCCGCGTGGAAGGCAGGGAAGCATGGCAGGGCTACAGGCTGCGGGAAAGGGAGTGGGGGAGGCAGGCTGGGACCGGGGGAGGGAGGCAGGGCCAGCTAGGTAGACCGTGACTTGAAGGCTTAACTGGCAGGCAGATCAGGGCTGCTCAGTTGGGGTGCAGTGCTTCAGGCAGGCAAGCTGCAAGTGAGGACCCACACGGTATAAGTGAGGAGAGACTGGGTGGAGGGGGCAGGGTGAGCATCGGCGGCCGGGGCGAGCAAGCGGGGACTGCTTCGGGGGTGTGGCCAGCCAGCGATTACTAGCGGTTCGGTGAACCAGCCAAAATTACCACTACCGGTTCTCCTGAACCGGTGTGAACCGGTAGCAACCCACCACTGTATATACCTCATTAGATACCTGTAGCCTGATATACATGACTTATGCTGTTCACAATCAGAGAACCTGTTTGTATGTGTGTGCCTGTATTTACATCCAAACAGAAAAAAAGGACAGAGTAATATGACACAAAGATAGGAATGCCTTACCAACCTAAGACATGCCTTTGGTGAATGGTTTGTCCTCTGTAGCCCATGTTCACGCTATTCATGTATTCAAAGGAGACAGAGTGCCCAAGAGAACCCACAGATGAAAGCACTTTGCTTATAAACAGAACTGGCCTTTTAATTTATGAATTAAGATTTTACCCCATGGGTTCTAAAGAAGTCCAAGGCCATGAGCAAAGATTAAATAACCACAATCAAGGATCTGAGTGTGAGCAGCACATTTTTCTCTATCTAGGCCAATGCCCCCCACCCCAGCCATGGAGAAAAGTTTTTCTGTGGATTGGAGGGGATGTGGTTTTGTATGTTGCCTGCATCCTGCGGATGGGGGTTTGCTTGTTTGTGCTGCCTGGTTGCTAGCATGCTGTGGGCTGGTCCAAGATCTGTGGGTTGAGGACCCCTGATCTAGGCCACTCCCTGTAGGCTCGGATTGTAAAGTCTCATGGCCAAGATCCTTTAGCAAGTTACTTTCTTTAAAAGTTATTACAAAAAAGAAATGGATTCAAACAACTTTTGGTATCATTTGGTGCATGTTCCTAATTACTGGGGTTGTAGTCCTGCGAAACTCATCTATATCTGGCATTTGCTTTGAGTGAAATCTTTACTGCCCCCTGCTGGTACTATGTGGATCATTCTATTGATGCTACGAACATGGCTAAAATGTGCAGTTTAAAGCAAAGATGTCTTTAGTGTCACATCTGCTTTATTCTGACCAGAGATTATTTGTGGATTTGTGAATTATCAGGCATTTTACTAAATTTTCCGTCAAATGCAAAACAAAGCAGCAGGAGAAAGACTACAGGAGTATTCTAAGACACACCCCAACTTTTCTTCTTCAGTTGTACCTCTCTGCTATGGAATGGGATAAAAAAGGCTTAATTTGGTGCTATAATTATTTGACATCATTTTCTCCAAACTAGTATTCCATGACTCCTACCGATGGTTGTTACTGTAGAAACAGAGAAAAAGAAGGAGCCGACAAAGTCCCATCTGCCCAGACTTGTATTTCCTTTAAGATAAAGTCCACTCTTGTAGGCTTGGATGATAGTCTGTGAAAAAGATTAAAAAAAGAGAAGTCATGGATGAGGATTTCCATCCACAAGATAGTCCAAAATTGCATTTCTATTCTGAAATAAGTTCCACTGAACAAAAACTTCATTCTGAATCAAGGCATGTAGTTTCCTTTGTAAATTAGTTCACCTTCTATGTTTAGCTGGCTTGACAGGAATTTATTTATCTTGCCCCAATCCTCCTTTAAAGATTTAGCAGAATCCCTGCTATATAATTTTGTAACAATGAAAATAAGAAATTATAACTTTGAAGGACAACTAACCCTTAAGAGAATGGACTTTATTTTAAAGTATTCCTTATTGCCCATCCCTCAGAGAAGCAGATTCGAAGGCAGCATATACAGAAAATAAAAGATAAAAAAAAAAAGAATGAACCACTGAAATCAGAGTTAAAAAGCAATTACAATGTGCTGATAAGGGGAAACCCCCTAATTAGCAGATTAAGAAATGAGGCCCTGACCAGAATGGTCTTCTCCTTCGAAAAATCTTCAGAAAGGGATATCGCCTATGATCTTAATTAATGAATGGGCTGGTAGAAACCAGATATTTTCTTCCAAAGAAATGCAGCCCTCATGCCACCTAAGTTTTAAATGCAGCATTTATGTTCTCCATAAAGATAAAAACATGCCTGATAAAGGAAGGTTATTTTGCAAAGATGTATTAGGACATCAAGAAGACTTCTTCTTTTTGATTCACTTATCCTTTAGTAACACAAAAGGACAAAGAGCTTAGACCTGTCACCTACATCTAACTCCAAGGGTTGTTATAGGGATAAAAATGGGGTAAAGTAAGAAAACAGTATACTAGACTCTCTTAAGTTCCATTGAAATATAAATATAATAAACAAAAGGGCTAGAATTAATTTAGCCACTAAATTAATTCCCTGTTGGGACTCCCTGGTGACTGGGACAGAGCTGGCATAATACAAACTTGTTAACTAGTATCGTGACTTTAAAGATATGCAACTGCACAGGAGCAAGTGGATATTTTACTGTATAAATTGGAAGACCAGTTGTGATTTGTTAGAATTTCTGATAGTTATTGATAATGTGGATCATTCAATTGTCCCCAATTTCCATTACTGGCTTGTGGAATTCCAGCCCTTTCTATCTAAATAGTCACACAGGATGGCCATCAAGAATACGACTTTTATTCCATAGACATTACACTAAATACATGAATGATATGAAAGAGTTTCAGTAGTTTTACAATAATACTGACAATATTTAGGAACAACACAAATAAGAATTTCCAATATGATTCTATATCAAGGCACAGTGGATAATGGATTAGACTAATTTGAGAAAAACTAAGCTGCAAAAATTGGAAAGAGGAATAACAAATTAACAGAGTTGAAAGGGATCTTGGAGATCTTCTAGTCCAGTGATGGCTAACCTTTTTGCCATCGCGTGCCAAAAGCACCGGGAGCGGGGGGGGTGTTGCACGCACGTGTGCCCACACCCATAATTCAATGCGCCCTGCCCCCCATGCATGTGCACGTGACCCCCCTGCGCTCCCCCCGTTTTTGGCATGCGATGGCACGATGAGCCCGTAGGCCTATTTTTTGCCCTCCCCAGGCTCCAGAGGCTTTCTTGGAGCCTGGGGAGGGCAAAAACGGCCTTTTCCACTCTTCTGGAGGCCTTCCAGAGGCCGGAAACTGCCCGTTTCCCGACTTCCGGTGGGCCCAGAAGGCCCAAAAATCAGCTGGCTGGCTAGCGCATGCGCACCATAGCTGAGCTGGGGCAACGCTCGCATGCCCACCAATATGGCTCAGCGTGCCACCTGTGGCACGCATGCCATAGGTTCGCCATCACACCATCTAACCCACTGCTCAAGCAGGAAACCCAATTCCATCTCACAACAAATGGTTGTCCAATCTCTCCTTAAAAACTTCCAGTGTTGGAACATTCATAATTTCTGGAGGCAAGTTGTTCCACTGATTAATTGTTCTAATTGTCAGGAAATCTCTCCTTAGTTCTAGGTTGCTTCTGTCCTTGATTTGCTTTCATTCCTGATTAGTTTCCATCCAGGAGATGCACTTGAGAGCCAAATGAAATAGTGAGTTCTCCTTTGATACAGATCATCTCACAATGGCAGGATGGTCACCTGTCAAGAGTTGCTGCAACCAAAGGATAGATGATCTCTAAACTACCTACCAATTTATCGCCACCTTTCAAACATAAACAAACATGAAGTTGTCTAAAACAATCAGGTACATGGAAACCTGAAATGAACACTTTCATGTATTCCTTACATGCTATTTTTCCAGGTTAGTCTTACATATATTGCAACTGAATGCTTCTATCTCTTTCCAATCTCTGTAGTGATAACTATGAATGACTTGCACTCTGGAACACCTGGCTACTTAATATAAAAAACTCACAAAATTTCTTCAGTTAGAACTGTTTCATTCCTTTATGCGACCATCTTTTGTCAAGTTAGTATTTTAGCCCTGTTTTTATATTTTATATTTATATCCCTCATTATTTTTATAAACAATTCAAGATGGCAAACACACAATACTCCTTCCTCTTCCTATTTTCCCTACAACAGGCCTGTGAGATGGGTTAGACTGAGAGAGAGTGACTGACCCAAAGGCATCCAGCTGGCTTTCACACCTAAGGCAGGACTAGAACTTATTGTTTATATCTCAATCACCCAGTCACTTGCATAGTGAGAAGGGGGCACTGTCTAAATTTGATAAATAAAATAAAATAATCCTTCTGCAACAAATCTTACACTTTATCAAGAATAATAAGATGTAAAATGGAACTTTAGTTACATTCAACCAAATATGAGATAGAGAACAGAACCTGTACATACATGACTTAGGGAGCCCAGCCAACATATGCAGTGTAATCATAATCCCTTTTCATTTACATGGTTATGAAGACAAACAGAAGGCCAAATATGGCTAAGGATGAAATCCCACATACCTGGCTAGGAATAAACCCATTGGATGAAGAAAAATTTTTTCCCCCCTCCTGAGACTACAATGCATGTTGTAAATAACATTTGAATCAAATGTTTTTTTTAAAGAAATACCTAAAGTTGAGAATGGGGTGAGTCAGGCATGCTATTGTTTTGAAGGCAAATGGCCTTTGCCTTTTCTAAGTGAAATTCTGATTTCTTAACCTTATAAAAACATAAAATACCGGTAACAATATATAAGATAAATATTAATCTTAAATTTATATTTAAGAGCACAGAGAAAAGGCCATAAATGTTAATTGCTTCTTATCACAGAGATTACACCTCAAGATCTCTCTCACATTGACAATAACAAACTTGAGAAATCCAAGAGTCAAGGCTACCTGAAAATATCTTAATACGGTACCGGTATTTACAATAGCTTCAAAGTCATACAGTAACACTAAGAAAATTTCTTTTGAATGCTGTATAAATATGGTTTATCTCTATGTCCACTCATGGCTTTTATACACTATTCAAAAGAGACCATAAAAAAAAAACTAAGAAGGAAACCAAAAGATCAGAACCTATCCTCTCCAGCAGCTTACACCCAGATAAGCTGGAATTAACACCAGAAAAACAAGCCTCTAATAGCTATTATCATATTACAAAAATAAAACTGGAGCCAGTGAAGATTAGGTATTGGTGTAGCCATAGCACATGGTATAAACAAGTTCTATTATGATTTGTTGATGGCTTAATGGGAGCCCAGACACTGTGGCCTATACAGCAACATTAAAAAGGATTAAAAATACTGGAGAAGAGATATGTGGATCTATGCCTTTCTGATTTGATGATTCAGAAAATCATATTGATTCAATTTTCCAGTTCAAGTTGGAAAAAAAGAGATCAAATAAATCCAGAGGCATCCAATTTGACATTGCAGTTCAATGATTCAGGAAAAATGGCTTCAAATCAAATAACTAAACTAAAATTTTATGCAGTGCTATAAAGAAATCCCATGTAAAATTGAACAACGTACCCTCAGTTTAACATTGGCCTCTACAATCTAGTGTTATATATCTTTCACCAATAATTCCATGGTTTTCAAAAAAGAAAAACCACTCAACCTATAATCTTTTCCAGGGAAAAGCTTTAAAAGCTTTGATAGATTGTGTTCACACACAATCCAATTAGGCAGGATAAAAATAAACTTCTGGTTTATTTCATTATATAATCATAGAGAGTGGCACACTACTCTTAGTTAGTTAATAGTAGTAGAAATAACAGTAAGAGCAGTGTAGGCAAATGTGATATCTCCAAACTGTACAGCCAGATCATGAGAATTGCGGTCCAAAATATGTGTGGGCCAGAATTCTCCAATCTATAAGTTTGGACACCTGTTTGCTAGATCCAGTTCCTATGACCTATGGTTGGGGCCATGCAATGGTTTTGATGCAGCAGTCTCCTCAGTCTTGAAGGAGGATGTAGTATGTTCCTTCCTCAAGAAGACATCCTTGGATTTAGTCCTGATAAGATCAAGTGGTAATATCTATTTGGGCTCCTCAGATCTAGGGATACTCCATCACTGACTCTTGTTTGATACCTTTGTGCAAGCTAAGGTTCTTTTGGACTTACATATCTTACTTGAAGACCAGACATCATTCATTGCACAAGGGCCTCTAATGAGCCAATTGCATTCTTCCTGGTCCGGGAGGCCCTTCGGGGACAGTAACTTATGCCTAGCCACCTGCCCTGAAAGCTGCAGGTGGTCCAGAAATATGGCAAACCAGGCAGTGGTGAGAGAACTGTGGCAGGAACACTGTTACGTGCCTGAGACCCTGCTGCTTTGTATTGGTTGGATGCAATTCAAAATGCTGTAATCATCTTCAAAGTCCTTCATGGCATAGGAATCTAGATTTCTGAAGGACTGCTTATCTTCAGTAGTGTCCACTCATCTGGCATCATCAACCAAGGGAAGCACAATTGAGGTCCCATTGATTAAACTAGGTCAACTTGTAGGACCCCAGGAAGAACTCCTAATCTTTTGCAATTACTGCCCTTTACCCTTCAGGAGTAGCTCTAGATATTTTGGCATCTAACCAAAGTCATATTCTGGCATCCCTACGATTTGGCTCATCTTCTGATTTGTTAGGAATTTCAAACTGGCAACCTCTTGTTTCTTTTATTCTTCTTAATTTTAAGCTTTACACCTATGTTTTTCAGCCACAGACAATTCTTTTTTCTTTGCTTGAACACTTTCATCTTTTTGCACTGCAAAATTATACAGGTAGTCCTCAACTTACAAAAATTCGTTTAGGGACCAAAGTAACAGCACTGAAAAAAGTAACTTATGACCGTTTTTCATACTTATGACTGCTGCAGCATTCCCATGGTCATGTGATTAAAATTCAGATGCTTGGCAACTGACTCATATTTATGACAGCTGCAGTGTCCCAGGGTCACGTCATCAGCTTTTGAGACCTTCCGATAAGCAAAGTCAATGGGGAAGCCAGATCCACCTAACAACCGTGTTACTAACTTAATAACTGCAGTGATTCACTTAACAACAGTGGCAAGAAAGGTCATAAACTGAGGCAAAATTCACTTAACAAATGTCTCTCTTGGCAACAGAAAATTTGGGCTGAATTGTAGTCGTAAGTCGAGGATTGCCTATATTTACGCCTAGAGTGTGCATGCTGATTTAGGAAGTACTGCACTACTGTTTTTCACTTTCATTGTTATTCAGAAGGGTTTTTTTTTCAGTGTTAAAATTCTTAACTTCTTCAAATTTAGTGTCTTAGCCAGTGCCCACTTGGCCTTAGCCTGAAGCTGGCTTTACAGAGATTTGTATGCCCTTTTATTTTTTAGGAAATTTTTAAAGACTTAGTTGTTCTTCCAGGGAGCCTCTTTTAATTATAATTGGTTTATAGTTGATATATGGTCAGCTATGTTATTCTTAAAAATGTATTGTCTTTTTATTTATAAACTGCAAAGAATTGTTGTGTGCTCTTGAAATTTGAAATAAATTTGAAATTTATTTGAAATAAGAACAAATGAATAAATAAAATTATTTGCAATGAATTAGTTTCTTTTTCCTTCCTTCCTTCCTTCCTTCCTTCCTTCCTTCCTTCCTTCCTTCCTTCCGGATGTCTTACATTTTCTTCTGCTTCCTAGTCTAGTAACCTCACCTATGTCATAAATTTCCCTTTTTTACTATATTATTTTTAACTCTTGTTAAATCATAGTGAAACACAGAAATCCAAACCAACCAAACAACCAACCAACCACTCATAAAATCTCATTGCAACATTTATGGGGTGTAACTTCAATCCTGTGCATAGTTACTCCAGTCTAAACTCCACTGAATTTGGTGGTATTTCCATCTGTCTCATACTCAACTTGTAAAACAGATTAAGACTTACAATTAAGGAAATGTCAAATAAAGAAACAGTCCTGCAAAATCTTTCCATTCCAAGTATTAGGGCAAAGTACAGACTTCACTTTTAAAGAAATGAAAGAAATATCTAATTCTGCTTTCTTCCTTCAAGTGCCTGATTGCTTCAGTGATAAGCTGATACAATTGTAATGCTTCTGGGAAGTGCTTACTAAGTAAATTATGGTTTGCTCGCATACCTGAGTTGCCTGGATTCACTTTTAACACGTTCCATTATAATCACACACAGGCTGGGTTTGCACAATGCACTGTGCTGAAATTTAGTTGGATGCTTTATAGGTCAGTGCATTGGCAAACAAAAGCTACTGGATAGCAACATTGGACAGCTTCTCAGAAAAAGATCTATCATGCTCTGAAAAGGATCTCTCATCTCCTACTGTACTCTAGATTTGGGCTCTAGACAAAGGCTCTAGGTCTGGGAACCTCAGTTTCTTCCTTAATGACTCTAATCTACTGGAAGAAAAGAACATTTATAGGATCACATTAACAGAATAACAAGAGTTGGAAAGGACCTTGTAGGTCATCTAGTCCAAAGCCGCCCCACCCCAAGCAGGAGACCCTACATCATTTCTCACAAAGACTCTAGAAAGAGTGCAGAGAAGAACAACAAAGATGATTATGGACTGGAGGCTAAAACATATGAAGAACGATTGCAGGAACTGGGTATGTCTAGTTTAATGAAGAGAAGGACTAGGGGAGACATGATAGCAGTGTTCCAATATCTCAGGGGCTGCCACAAAGAAGCTATTCTCCAAAGCACCTGAAGGCAGGACAAGAAGCAATGGGTGGAAACTAATCAAGGACAAGGAGAGAAGCAACTTAGAACCAAGGAGAAATTTCCTGACAGAACAATTAATCAGTGGAACAACTTGCCTCCAGAAGTTGTGAATGCTCCAACACTGGAAGTTTTTAAGAAGATGTTGGATAACCATTTGTTTGAAGTGGTGTAGGGTTTCCTGCCTAAGCAGGGGGTTGGACTAGAAGACCTCCAAGGTCCCTTCCAACTCCCTTATTCTAGATGGCACTTCCGTCTCTTCTTGAAAGCTTCCAATGATGAAGCTCCCACAACTTCTGAAGGCAAAGCTGTTCCATTGGTTGATTGCTCTCACTGTCAGAAAATTCCCCCTTATTTCTATATTAGGCAAACCAGTGCCTCCCAAGATCCTTCCCTTCCCACCAAACAGCTGATCCCCCAGTCTGAATTCACGGCCAGAATAGATAAAACTGGGAACACGTGAAAGAAAGGCTGCCTCCAGCTGCACGTGGAGGGAGCGCCTTTTAAGTTAAACTACCCGGACTGACTCCTCACCTCTTTTCCCTTCCAGCCCGTCCCAACCACCCAGCCACCTCAGTTTCGCCGGTACCTCCGAGAGTCGCTCCAGAGCCTCCCGTTCCAAGCAAGTGAAGTTCAACAGGAGCTCCCACTTCTCCTTCAGGAGCAGGTCCGTCATGTCACGTTCCAGGGGCGACTCGAGCGCCCAGAACGCGGCGCTGCCCAGCAGCAGGTAGCTGAGGTAGACGAGCAGCAGCAGCGTCGTGGAGGGAAGCCCGCAGCGCCGCTCCGTCGGGGCAGCCTCCGGTGGCTCCATATTCTGGCCGTCAGAGGCGGTGGAGGAGGAGAGGAGGGGGCGGTGGTGCAGAAATGCCGGGGAGAAGCGCAGCCGTGAGGAGAAGTTTTGCCCGCGGCCTCCTTTCCGAAGGCTCCGTGAAGCAGCGGTGCTTCTCCGCCCGGATTCTTCTCCCTGGGCGGGGCCAAAGCGGCGGCATCTCCCGGTGCTTTTCCCAAACGGAGCGAACCGGTCGGTTTGAGCGGTTAACTCAACTCTCAACTCTTAAGCTTAACTTTGAGTCTCGGGTGTGTAAAAGCCTTACGCGGAGAGAATGCGTGTTCTTGGGGCCGGGACGTTTTTAGTAAGTAAAACCGAAGTAAACCACCTGTGTTGAACTTGCCATTTGGCCTTGAGCTTCTGAGCCAAGGCTTGGCAGAATTCCGTCCCGTAAGAACAGCAGCAGCTGTGTCCGGAGGAGACGGTGGCTTTTTGGGTTTTACTTAGCATTTACTTTATAGTAAGGTTACGTTGGATTTAAGTGTGGATGCGATTCAGTTTGGAGGAGTCGTCGCAGCCCTAACCCAGAAACCAGGAGACTGGGAGTTATAGTCCCACTTTGGGCACAAAGCTAGTTTGGTACCCCCCTCCCCCCCAAAAAAATTAGGTCAGTCACAAGCTCTCAGCCCCAGGGAAGAAGCAGTGGCAAACCACTTTTGAAAACCATGCTAAGAAAACCGCAGGAGCTTGTCTAGGCAGTCAAAAAGTGTTAATGCAGCCTCAAAGGTGCACCACCTGCATACACATAGAGATTAGTTTTGTGTTAACGCAGCCTTAAACTGGTGAGAAGAGAGGAAGTGGCGCATGGCTGGACTGCAAAAATCTAGTCAATACCAAAGTTACAATTTCTTGCAACTTCTCTTCCAAAAATTATTCAGATTCTTGCAGCTTAAATAGAGGATCCTTAAATGTATGCAGATGAATTTGTGTACTAATTGCCACTGATCTGAGTTTTTATAACATGCTAGGCTAAAATATGTTTGGCTAGTTTGTGGTTGATTATGCAGATTCAGCCAAAATGGTTTGTTTAGAGCAGGCATGTTTAACTCATGGCAAATGGGCCACAACATGCACCCCTGGACAGCTAATAATGTGACTTCACAAGATTGCGAACTTTTAATATATGATTTTATATTATAAAAAATATATATTTTATATGCGGCCCAAAACAATTCCTCTTCACTTAATGTGGCCCAGGCATGTCAAAACTGTTGGACACCCCTGGTTTAAAGCTCAGTGTGTTGATTTAATTTAGGCAAATGGATTAAATTTAGGAAAACAAGTTTCAATTAACCATTGGTTAATATGTTGAATGAAAACCGGGATAAAGAATTTTAAAAGGGAGCAGGCCATAACTCCTCTCCTTTTGGAAAATAAATACTGGTTTGGTTCCAATGAAAATAGCCAAAAAAAATTTTTTTGGCCAAGGCTTCTCTTCCTATGATCATAACTTCTTGTTGTGGTCTGCATACTGTACCAAATTATGATTTATTTTGAAAATGACTTAGTTGTTACAACATACCAAAACATAATGTAAAATTGGGGCTACAACGTATTAGCAATTTTGAAAGTGTGTGTGAATTTACAAAATGGCTGGTACAAGAACCTTATTTATAAAATGGCTGATGTAGTGGCCATAGCTGGTCATGAAAATCTATTTACTGGAAGAAGAATTAGCTTTCTAATTCTTCTACCAGGCTTAGGCAAAAACCAGCCTTCCAGAAAGAAAACTTTCTGCAAAACCATCTATCCTGGTACAGTATAGCTATTCTGAGAGTGATCTGTCAGTTTTCCAGAACTTAATTTTCTGAACAGGAAGCTCTTCCAGATGTGCTCCAGAAGCCAAATCTGAAAATAGTTAGTTCTATAACAGTGTTGAGGGACTTTTAAGACAAATCTGAGTGATTCTATTGAGAATCACTTTACTGAGTGATGTTTTTTTCTTAAAATGAGTTTAATTCTCTGAAAACTACAGTATGATTTTTTTCTGTCTTCAAATAACCATAACCATTCTTTTAGGAGAAGAGTAGGACTCAAAGTGAATTTGCGCAATGCTTGTTTTATTCACACATTTTGCTAAACCCAAGTTGTTGTTTTTTAAAAAAAAATCATAGTTGAGGAAACTATTGTTGCATGGATCATATATAACATTAAGCTATAATTAGTACTTCATGATGGCACTAAATTTAAAACAGCCATATGTGTGAACCAGAAAATTGCCCTGAGCTTTCCATGAAGATTGCTATATGGGGTCTTCATAGTTTACAGGAAGATATTAACATAGGAACTCTATTTCCTTTTCCTGATATTAGCTAGTAGTCAAAGAATTTAAAATATTAAATTCCAGAAATGACACTATTATGAACTATTGCAGAATTAGTTACATAATTTCCGGTCTCAAATTGCATTGTCAGTTTTTTTGTTTATACTGCAAAAGAAAACAAGTAGAAAAGAATGAGTGAGGGGTACTTTTCCCCGTACTTTGCTAGGTACACCTGATGACATTATTCAAAGTAGGAATCCCCAAAAGAAGAATCAACAAGATTGTTACCATGCATGACATACAGTTGACTTATTAACTAAGAGAACAACTCAGTGAGTTCAAAGCTTGTGGTAAGTTGTAAGATAAGGAATGTATCCTTCAAAGAAGACATTATTCCTCTATATACCAATAATATATTTTAAGAATATTTTATGTGGTGTTAGACAGTGGTGGGATTCTGCCGCTTCTAGGGGGTTCGGCTGAACCCTTTGTTAAATTGCTGGCTTGCCCCGCCCCTTGCCCCGCCCCTCCGCACTATTTATTCCAATAAATGGGGCGAGCGAGCCAGCAATTTAACAAACGGTTCGGTGTTTTTTTGTAATTTATTGGCCCCGCAGCACACCGAACTGTTTGTTAAATTGCTGGCTCGCCCGCCCCTCGCCCCGCCCTGCCTCCCATCCGTGCGGCGCCAGCCTACCCTAGTCAGGGGTAGGCAATTGTGGCTCTTTTACAACCTGTTGTGGACTTCAACTTCCAGAATTCCTGTGACAGCTTGGCTGTCTCAGGAATTCTGGGAGTTGAAGGCCACAGGTTGTAAAAGAGCCACAATTGCCCACCCCTTCCCTAGCCTGAGTTCCGCTGCCTGGGATCTACGTGGGCTGCCATGTGGTTCCCCACCGGCTCCGGACGCAAGAGAGCAGGATGGAGAAAGCAGCTTCCACGCCTTCACTCACCCTCACTCTCCCTCACTCTCTGCTCTGTTGGATCACCGGCCGTTCGCTTACCCTGCCCACTCCCAATCTATTGCTGCCTCCGGAGTCCCAGCTGATGGCTAGAGGAAAAAAAACTTCAAATTCTTGCCGCGGGGCTTCAAAGGGCCGCCCTATAGCCAGTGGTGCAGTCGAACCGTTTGTTAAATTGCTGGCTTGCCCCGCCCCTCCGCACCACTATTTATTGCCAATAAATAATGGTGGGCGAGGGGCGGGTGAGCCAGCAATTTAACAAATGGTTCGGTGTTTTTTTGTAATTTTATTGGCCCACGGAGCTTCAGCATAGGCTAATTAGCCCCTTGATTCTATCGGCCTCCTGACTCTCAGCTGATTTGTCTCAGCTGTTTTGCTCAGGGCTCTGCTGCTTCCTTGCAAAGAGTCCTGGAGCAGATTTTTTTCCCCTTAACTCTGCTGAAACACGAAACTGAAACTGCTTTGCTGTTGCTGCAACGTTGGAAAATTAGGCAGGCAGAATTCTTTTCTTTTTCCTCACCAAAAAAGGTAGGTGCAAACAATGGGAAATTTAGGGAAAAAGAGGAGAGTTCAAGATTTTAAAACACAAAAGAAAAAAAGCTCTATTTAACTAGGGAATTGTAATAATTGAGATACTATTAATTGTAGATTTCTGAAAGCAGAAATGGTTAAGTTGTGGTTTGGAGGAATATATGGGGGAAATTATTTGGTTTATTATTATTGGTAAATATAATTAATTGATTTGTAAGAAATTGGATTGCATGGAAATAATTGGAATATTCATGTTCATATTGATTAACATACAAAAAAGATAGTTCTATAACTAATTGATTTATATTAAAATGTTGAATTTATATTAAACAACTAATATTACATAATTAACCAATGTGAGGATGGATATAAAAAGAGATGACAATGGGAAGGGGTATAATATAGAATAGAAGGGAAAAATTGAATTTGATTAAGATTAGAGATGAGGATGAAGGGTAATATTGGTTTTTTACAAAAATAGATGAGGAATAAATATGGCAAAAAGGAAATATAGAAATTGTAAATTGAATTGAAATGACTAAACAGTGTTTAAATTTGTGAACCGGCCAAATACTCTGTTCAAAGAAAATACATTGTATGTTTGTATGTGTGTTTCTAATTATTGTTATTTATTCATATTTGTTCTCTTTTATTCTTTAAAGTTTAACAATTCATTCTTTATCTTAATATCTTTATATTTGTTTGGGGTTGGCTTTCTTCCCTTTCATCTTTTTTATTGTACAGCAATCTTTCTCCTCAAACCTACCACCTCTCTTTTCTTTTCTTCTTACTTTCTCTTCCTCCCCCTCTTCTTCTCCTCCCTACTTCCTCTTCCTTTCTCCTTCTCCTCCTCTCTTCCTCCCTCTCTTACCCTCACTCCTACTCTAATTTCCCTTCCCTTCCTTCATCCCTCTCTATTGCTGTATCCTTTTATGCATATGGACTACTCAGAGGGCTGAAGTTATTTCTGACTGGTCCTCACACTTTTGACCAGTCCTCGAACTTACGACTGTCCTCACATTTTACGTTTTTGCCCTATCTTGTCACCATGGTGAAGAGAAGCAGTTGTGAAATTAGTGACATGGTTGTTAAGAATGCTACAATGGGCATAAATTATGACCAGTCATAAGTGCGAAGACCAGTCAAAAGTGCGAGGACCTGTCAGAAATCACTTTTTTCAGCCCTCTGGGTAGTCCTTTTGTGCATATGGACTACTCAGAGGGCTGAAAAAGTTATTTTTGACTGGTCCTCGCACTTTTGACCAGTCCTCGAACTTACAACTGTCCTCACATTTTACGTTTTTGCCCTATCTTGTCACCATGGTGAAGAGAAGCAGTTGTGAAATGAGTGACATGGTTGTTAAAAAAGCTGCATGGGCATAAATGTGAGGATGGTCATAAGTGTGAGGACTGGTCAAAAGTGCGAGGCCCAGTCAGAAATGACTTTTTTCAGCCCTCTGAGTAGTCCCTATGCACATAACCACGCCCACCGGTCACATGACGAGCTAGCCACGCCTACACAGTCACATGACCAGCTAGCCACACCCACCCAGTCACATGATTGCCAAGCCACACCCCCAACTAAACCACGCCCACAGAACCTGTTGTTAAAAAAATTGAATCCCACCACTGGTGTTAGACCATGTATAATATTCAGGAACTCTAAAACATTATAGACTAACTCAGGGTTGTCAAACTCATGTTGCCACTGCATCATCATGTGATGTATCATGACCCTCCCACTTCGTTAAACTGGGCATGGGCATGGCCAGCACATGACGCATCCGGCCTGTGAATTTAACAGCCCTGGTCAGCCCTGAATGAAAATGTGGTGATGGATTTCTACAGTTGGTGAAAGGCAATGCCTATTTCAATGGCTCCTGATCTAGTATTGTATATTATATCCTCTTATCAAAATAAAATATTTTAATATGTGATTGAGCATATTGATTGATATTAGACCAGTTTCTAGGGAGTAACAGCCAAAGGGGGTTCTACCCCCTCCCATTCAGAAGGTACTTGGTTAGCCAAAATGTGACAAAGAAACCTGGATCCGATTAGCTATTGGTTGGCAAAGCAATTCTTATAATCTTAAAGGAATCTGGTATACTAAATGACTGATGACAAGCCATAAAATGTGGGATCAAAAATAGACCAGATGTAGTAACACAACTTCATAATGAACCCAAAAGGACCTTCTTACAGAAATAACACATACAAATTAATGCACTGAGCTTCATAACGTTTTAAAGCAGGAGCACATACTTTTTTTCAGGCTAAGGGCTACTGTAGTCTTTGAATAATGTGCTGTGGGCTGCATTCTCCACCCCCACATGTGTATTTTTAATGTATTTTTTACACAAAAAAATAAATACAATTTATATTTACATTTAATTACAGCTATAGTAAATCAGTAGTGGGAAATCTCTAATAACACATAGGCAAATCTCAGGGTTCCCCAAATTGTGAACCAAGTCCCAGGCAAAGCACAAAATCAAGTGCACTCCAGGCATTTAATGCCCATTCCGGCATTAAATACCGTACTTTTTGCACTATAAGACACTCTGGGCCATAAGACGCCTGGAACGGGTTGAAAATGGGGCATGAAGGCTGAAAATGAGGGGTGCAGAGGCAAAAAATGGGGCACATGGAGGTTGAAAATGGGCTGCGCGGAGGCAAAAAACGGGGCACATGGAGCCTAAAAATGGGCTGCACGGAGCCAAAAAGGGCTGAAGGGTGAGGGCCAGCAGGTGGGTGAGGCTTCGGCAACATTTGCTCTATAAGATGCACAGACATTTCCACCCACTTTTTTGGGGGGGAGAGTGCATCTTGTAGTGCGAAAAATATGGTATATACTAAATTTCCCCTTCTACCATGTAAAAAATTACATTTTGCACATAGTTTTCAGCACCACATACATCCTCAGAATATCATGCTATGCATCACCATGTCAAAACTTTGTAACACCCCTTAACCATCTATAGGCCCCAAATCTCCTGTGATGATCAGTGTGGTTATTATTTTACCCTCATTTGAACTCCTTTCTCTTCAATCTGAATTAGATATTTATATTGGAAGATGAAGGTTGTAAAGGGCAGATATTGCTGCACCTTGCTTATTTTCAAATAAAGTTAGGACAAGTGTTAACAAAAGACTCTTGTCTACAGATCAGCTGAAATGTCACAGGTGGAGTGCCTTGTATTAATTAGGTGTTCAAGCTTAATTCTTGGTCATTGCATAGACAAATGCCTCAACTTGGCTAGTAATAATTAGTAGATCTTCCAAGGAGTATTCTGTAATTTCTTGGATCTTGCTTGTCAGCACTTGTTGAAGCTCCTTGCTTGGAAAGAGATGCAAAAAGTTCTGTCTTATCAATGCCATATCTCTTGCCATTTGTTTTTGTTCTTCATGAAGAGTCAGTGGATTGTACTTGTAGAAATTCTTTCAGTTTGACTCAGTTCATCTAGGAAATCCATCAAGGTGACCTCATTCTTCAAACTTTTTTCTTTCTTTCCTCCTCAGCAATGTACACTTGCAGTCATGACATTATCTTATGAAACATAACGATGCAGTTCAAAAATGCAAGTACTACTCTACAAAATATCAGGATGGTTCTTCTCTCTTTTAACATTAAAAGGAGCTTTACTATTAATCTCTATTTCCGGTTGGTGATACTGGATGTAGCTCTGTCACTCTGTCATCCAGTTATGGACTGCCTAATCTAGAAAGTTCCTTTTGATGTGTTAGAGAATATTTTTCAATTACCTTCAATTGCTAGTCCAGCTAGCATCAGTACATGGGACAGAGAGGGATACCTACTTGTGTCAAGCAGCAAAATGTCTGGGCCCCAGACCTGGAGGATGCACAAATGGATGTAGTTCTATTTTTTCTTCAATTATTTCAGCTACTAATATAACAATTTGAACATGTAAATTGAAATTTTCTACTTGGGTGCATTGTATTCCTTCTCCCCCAGAGTAAGCACCAAGCCTTTTTTTGAAATTGGTATTCTGGACTTCGAAAATTTTAATATATGCCTTGGGACATAGTCAAGGAGAAAATAACAGAGAATATTCAAAGGTCCGGATGGCTTGGAAAAAGTACTAACCAGAGTCTGCTAACCTTGGAGTGAAGGTACTGAGGAAAATAAGTTTGGGCTCTTGTCATTGAGATTCAGTAGCTTGCAACCATGCCTTGTTTGAAATTTCTTTCATAGATGGAACTAGTAAAATATGTGAATTTTTCTGCCAGAAAATCTGTTGAACAGATTTCACTACTTGCTTAAGGGAAATTGAGAAGTGGTGATAGAAGATGGAGTTCTCTTGAAGGAAAAAAAACCTTGATTGTTTCCAATAAAATTTTAAAAATTTATTTTGGAACCCAGTGCCCACAAGCCATCTGATAGGTCTGTTCTAATAATTAGTTCAATGGAAGATAATTGGCTGAACGGAAAGTGTAATAAATTATGCTCTCAATGAATTTTCCTTCATGCTTTTCATTTCAGCTGCTTTTTGCACATAACGTTTTTACTATTACTTGGGGAAAAAAATCCTCTATCCTTTATGAAATTGTTCACTCGTGGGTGGAAAGCAGTATATCATATCCACACACCTTGAATGCACACACAAATTCTTCTAAGCTGCCTACCCATGAGAGACACTCAGGTGGGAATATAGATCCTGGGTTGATCAGGATTATCTTCTCCTTTGGAAACAGTAACTTCTGTTGTCCCTGGATCTGACTTTTGCTTATTAAATTGTAGGAATTTCTCCATTAGGTCTGCTCCCAGGTTGACTATCAGAGCAAGCCAGGCTAAACCAAAGACAATCCAAATTGCTGCCAAGCTTCGGTACACTGAAATATAATGCTTGCTAGGATCAGTACCTATGGAAACAAAAAGAGAGGGAAACTTAATTTCTCATAGCTGAATACCTGAAAAAGTAAAATATTAGCTGAATACCTGTATTCAGCTAATAAACTGAATACAGCGCACACATATACAAGCATACTTCAGAAGTGGAATTGCTTTGGAACATACAGGGAAGTGAATGCAGCTCTCTTCAGAGCAGTACCATATTTTTTCAGACTTCTGTAGGAGCCTCCAAAAAGTGCAGTTCCTTAAATGATTCATATCAATGACTTCTGTTTTAATGAGTTATTGCATTAAAGCAAATTTTTGGCAAGACTTGAATCTGGAGTTCTCTAGTCCAAAACTATAGTGTACTACTCTGCACTCCCCTGCCCTCTGCTTCTGTCAATGGAAGATGATAAGGTGTCTTCTGCACAAATGCTTCCATTGAATTATCTCTCTTCCACATGAGCTGAAGGAAGAAAAGACTAGCGCGGAGTTCCATAGCATCTCAGCCTCATCCTTGAAATGACTGTTGGAAAAGAATATTTGTCTATAGAATAGTTACACATCATGAAAACCAGAAATGCAGGAAGTATGGCTCAGGGGAAAAAAGAGGAAATGCAAATATATATATTTTTAAAAAATCTTATTTGTGTCTATAACATGTAATTTGTGACTGAGTTTTTACGTCAGTCGGAATTGGAATGTCAAATTTCAAGTGAAAATGAATGTAAAATTAATGCTACCCAGTGAGTTGCAGCTTGATTTAGTGCAGGAAATCCATCTGGAATAGAAAATAGATTCCTTTTTCCTTCAAAATAAATATAATTCTGAACAGTTTTGTCTGCATCTATAGAAAAGAAGCAAAGGAAGCACCAATGTTTCTCAGTAGCATTTTCATTTCTTACTCAGCTGCAGTCAGTAACTGCATCTGGTCCTTTTAAAAGCACTTTGTCCACATTAATGCACTCTTGTGTGTGGCATGTTTGGAGCATGGTGTTTTGCACAACTATCTATGTAGATTACTACCACCTATTAATAGACATTATTAATACAATTAATAATTGTATTAATAATGTCTATTATTAATACAATTAAATAGCAATTATTTTAAAATCTAGTCTGTCAGTGAAATGTTTGTAGAAAATATGGCGGCCACAATGGGGAATTTGCCATTTAAAGAAAAGTAAGTTTTTTAAAAACTAAAATCTCATGAGAAGTCAGTTTCCTTGCATGAGAACTCACAAGATACCAGAGAGATGTTTGCCAAAATAAAGTGTGTTACTGCTGAATTTGGGGCAATTTTAAAATGTGTTTGAATTTTTTACATGCAGAGATACTTGCCATGTGCAACTGATTTCTCTCTTAATCTGTCTCTCTTTTTTTAAAAAAGCAAGAACCTGTATTCTTGACTCCTAATGGAGCGATTGAATGAGTGAACAAAAAAGTACATTGTAAATATAATTTACATGCCATGGCCATGTTGTTATGTATAAGTGTCTCTAGAATTCTTTCCAATCAATGCTGGTGTGATAGACCGGGTGGGGGTTCTCTTACTTACAGCATTTAACTACTACTTTTATTATTACCTACTACATAATCTCCAAATCCAATGGTGCTGAGGGTGATAAAGGTGAAGTAGAAGCCTTCTCCATAACTCCAGCCTTCAACATAACTGAAGATCATTGGTGGAAAAACGAGGAAGAGTAAAGTCCCAGCCATCAGAAATAATACCATGGTTAATGTCTGCATCACCTGAGAAACATAAGGATGGAATGGTTGTTCAGTAGCTGTCAAACTTCCAGCCCCCGGGCTGGATACGTCACATGCTGGCCACACCCACGCCCAGTTTAGCGAAGGGGAAGAAAGTCCCGATACGTCACATGATGCCGCCGAGACTACATGAATTTGACATCCCTGATCTAAAGTGTGGTTGAAAACATGAAGGCTATTTTCAATAGTCCCCAAATGATGTTTAGCTGAGTTCCAGGAGTGAAATTCAGTGAGATACCCTCATACCTGGCCTGTATAGTTATTTTAAAATATTGGCATGCCTATTATCATTTCAGAATGCAGTACTTTTTCTATTTGGTTATCAAAGAATAGAAATAAGTGTAATAGAATATTACATTCATCCACATGAATATTATATTCATCCACATAAAGCTCCAATTCACAATGGAGATTTGCTAGGCTATCCTTGACATGATGCTTAGTCATATCAAGGAGAAGCCACAATTGGATATATTAAGTTACATTTCTGACATTGGTGATACATTTGATGAAGAATAAACTTAGAAATAATTTAAAGGTTTGGGTTGATACCTAATCACTTGTAGGAGCCAACCTTATTGAATTTAAATCCATCTATGAAGGATACTGTATAAATTAATGGACTTTGCAAACTTTCAACTTACAGTCCAAAAGAGAGGGAAAGCAGTCTTCATGGAGAGAATCAATAGCTGTCAACTCTCTTACTTAGAGTTTTCTATATATTGAAGTACTACAAGAACATTTGAGGAAAAGTTAACCCAAACGTTAACGTGTATGAGTTCATGGTCCCATTTCTGTTCATTTCTTTTCTACAGAAGGTTGAGGCCCTACATCTCTGTCCACACAATGATAAATATTTTCTGCATAGATTCCTAATGCAGTAACTATATAGGCAGCCTCTTTGTGTCACACAGTAAAACAAATGAGGTAATTTTAAACCCAAAACATGAAATTGATACCAACATGAAATAGCGCTGGTTCAAAGGAGCAGGGTTGACGAAATGTGTCCATAAGTTAAGGTAAAAGCAAAAATTAGAAATCAATGGGAACTGTGAAACAGCTTGAAAGGTTGCTTGACATTAGAGAAGGTTCATTGATTAGTAGACAGCCTCTCATCAGAAAACATTGAATGGATGATACCTAGAATATGGTTGTTGCAATTTCGAATACCAGTGACTATGGTGTTTTCATGAAAATGTGGATGAAATTTCTGATTTGTATGTTGTGTGACTCGAAACAAAACAGCTTCTTGAATATGGCTTCTTTCCATATATTTCCGTAAAAGAGGAAATAATTCTCAACAGCATTCTCCAAAAAGGTAACAGAAAACTGTTCTTCAGTACAAATGCTAAATATTCAGGAACCCTGCCTTTTGAACTCACCTTCTGCAAGGTAACAACATGCAAGATTTCTACCTACCAAGATTCTGGATGGCTATGAATTTTGTTCTCCTAAATCAAATAGAAGAAAATCCAGTTGCCCTTCCCTCTAAATTATGTCCATAAACCTGTGTATACACGTACAATGAAAATAAAGTTACTTTTTTTTTTTTAAAAAAAAAGCATTTTATAGAAGGAAATATGAATCATCTACATTTTAAAAATGATGTAATATGAAATTTTGTCTTGCTGAAATGTACAGAAAGCATAATAGACATTGCTATCTATGACTATTCTCCCAGGCAAGTAATTCTTCAGTCAAAGGCAGAGGGCCAAAGAGTTGTGTAACAATTTTGTCTTCACCTGTTTAGGAATTCAGCCAAGCTTTGTACCATCATCAGCAGGATATTCATTATGCCTCTCCCATGTTCTCTGATTTCTGGTGTGGAAATGTATAACTTTTGAAAAACTCTATCTGGAGTAGGCTAGCTTTCTGATCTGGCATTTCTTTCTCTAAGTACTGGTATTAAGAAAAATCATAATAAATCTTGTAATGTTTACATCTTGCAACATAAGGAATTTTGCTATGCATCTTGCCCCAATTTATGTACTGTAACTCATGTAAATTGCCTTGCAATCCCTTTTAAAACATATAAAATCATCCTCTTATTCATGTAAAAGTAATTATCAATATTTGGACACAATTTTCAACAGAGAAATATTTTTCAAAGACTGCCAAGGAGAGATGTGGGGGGGGGGGTTTCCTTTTTTGATGGGAGTGGAATGTCCAGCTTTGCTGCTGATAAATTCATGGTGGGATTCTTTGTCTATATGTGAGGGAGAAAGACATAGTTACCCTCAAGCTTATAAGCTCCCTGATTACATTTTACTTTGTTGCTATGAAACAGAAATTGATTATCTGGGGATATATCCTCAACGTACAACAGTTAGGACTAGAACTTCTGTTGCTAAGCAATGCAGTCTAAGTCAATTGCACCTGATTTTACAACCTTTTTCTCCATGGTCAATAAGTGAATCACATGGTTGTTAAGTGAAGCTGTCTTTCTCATTGAGTTTGCTTGTGGGAAGCCCCCTGGGAAGATTGCACATGGCGATCACAAGACCACAGGACACTACAGCTATCAAATACATATGGGTTGCCAAGTGCCTGAATTTTGATCATGTGTCTGCAAGGACATTGAAACAGTTGTATGTGTGATGATTGAGAATAAGTTACTTTTCACAACCCTTGTAACTCTGAACAATTTTTAAATAAGTGGTTGTAAGTTGAAGACTACCAGTACTCTGCTACAATTGTTTTGTCACAAAAACAAGAATTCAGAGGCATATTATATACTTAGAAACACGAAATGATATGGAAATACGTAGATAGCAAGGCTAAAGAAGGAGAGAATGAATGGCCCTCAGTATTCTTGAGTATGTCCTTATCAGCTGCTTGCTTCAGTGTCCTATTTACAAATGTTACTTCAATTATGTGGAATGAAGAGAGAAGGATATATACATATCTGAAAATCATATTGGACATCTTCAAAATTATACATGAAAACATCTACCAAGTATTCAGGACTAAGTAGTATGCACCATTGCAGAGCAAAGTATAGGGAAAACGGGGATGACGGTGTTCAAAAGAAATTGAGATAGTGATATTCTTCTTTGTGTTAAACACTGGCTTTCTGGCCATTTAGGTTTTCTGTGTTACCCCCTGATCTTGCTTGTATCCTTAGTTGCTGTAACTTACTTAGCCCTTTGTAATGGCTTCACTTCTACAATTAATACAGGGAATCCTCAACTTAAAATCATACAGGAGCCCAGAATTTGTAAGTCATGATGGCTATGTGGCTGTTTAGTGAATGTGGCAGTGGTAAATGAATCCATGTATTCCTATGGGCATTTTTTTTTTTTTTGCTGGTAACTGACTTTAAAGGTCCAGAAACCAGTAAAAAAATATCGTAAATTATGGTCACATGACCGTGGAATACTGCAGTTGGCCATATTGGTGAGCAGGTTGTTAAGCTCCCAAAATACAGTCATGTGACTGTGCGCTCAGATGTTGGAACTGTAGAATTGGGTCGTCGGGGTCTCTTGGGGACTCCATAGTTTTAAACACTTGCTAAACAACTGGTTATTAAATGAGGACTACTTGTACTTTTTTTTTAGCATTCCATGATTTTAGGTTGTATCAACAAATTGTGTCTTCTGGAGCTTTTATCAAGAATGTATAGCTTGATATAACCGATCACTATTCAGAAGTTCATATCAACAAAGTCTTCTGTTGTCCTGGATTGCATATGTCCAAGATACTCTCATGTGTGCTATGAATACATGAAAATCACCTCTGTAATGTGTTATAGGAATAAATGAGCAATTGTACCTGAGCTCTCCCTGACTTGTGGACCCATCTGTCCAGGTCAATCAGGTGTGTGCTGAGTCCTTTCCCCAACCGATTAAGAAATGCCAAATTAAGAGGGACCCCAAACAAAGCATAAAATACACAGAAGACCTGTCCAGCTACTGTACTGGGGGCCAAGTTCCCATAACCTACAGAAAGAAAAGAAATCAAATCTCTTAATGAGGCTTAATTTACGTGAAAAAAATATTATTTTATTAAGAGAATTCTGCTTATTCTTCTTTCAGATCTCCTCCTATTTTGATCCAGCCAAAATTAAACACTTGCAGAATCTTGCTTCTATGATTGAAATTACAGGGATTGTAACACTGAATTTTGGCTGGTTCATGCACTTTCTGATGTCCTGAGTGCCCAAAAGCAGATTTCATAAATACACAACTGATACTGTATATTCTGTAGACAAGACAATTAATCATAGAAAAAAAATCACATAAAAATGGGTGTAGTTGAATACAATGACTTTTAAAATATACATTTCAAAATCTGAAACTTTTCTGATGCAGATTTACAAACTGCTTTGTATCATCAGTCACACATGACTCAACTTTTACCTAAAGTATTGTGGAAATCTAAAGAAGAAAGATTTCCAGGGGGAAAAAATAACACACATTACCTATAGTGGTGACCACAGTCCCAGCAAAGAAGAAACTATTGCTAAAGTCCCAGTTACTAGGATTGGTTGAATTTCCTTCAGGGTTGACTCCTTTTTCCCAGGCTTCCATAATGACCTATCGTGGAAACATTTGTAAAAGAAGGGGAAGAAAGGGATTGTTTAAAACTGGGACATTATAGTAACTAAGTTAAATGCATTCAGTTTCCAATATTCATCACTGATAGTTGTTTTTGTAGTAATGATGAGAGTGCCCATGTTACTCTACCAGTAAAATAGGACTGCTTGTAGGAGATGAGTAGGCTGAGCTGGAAGATGGGGTTAAATGTGTCATCAGTTTGAAATAATTGTGTAGCCACAAGCGATCCAAGTCTAACCATTCATCAATTCTGTTAACCTCTATTTAGTGCCAATGTACTTTTGACTGTTAATTGTCCAGATTCTGTAAATATAGCAATAATAAACTCTTCAGTGCTTTGAAATGAAGTAGTGTGTGCCTGACACTACTAGATGCAGTAAGAGTTGTAAACAACTCACTACCCTCTCTCAGTGATAACAATTATAATTGTATTTAGAACTTGTGAAGAATTCATATTTCTCAAATGTATACATGAATGAAAGAAAAATAGTGTAGTTTTGAATTGTTCTACCAAATTCTGCTATGTAGTTTGTACCTTTTAAATAATAATCAAATATTAATCTACAAATAGCTAATATACAAATCTGTATAATTATAAAAAATAGGTAGATTAAAGGAAAATTCATATTGAAGTAGAATGGATTTAAGATTTTTTTTTTTTAAAAAAACCCACTTAAAGGTGACAGATTGAACCATCCTTAGTAGATGTAGCAAGATCGGGAGGGGACTCTTTCACTGGAATCCACTGGTAGTAGATCAACTACAGTGAGGCAATAAGAGGGATGCAGTACCTGTTTAATACCAGAATAATGTAAGAAAGGGTTTAGGAAAAGACTGAAACTATGGGAAATGGGTGACTGCAAATAGGTATTTGTAAACAATTTAGAGATGTCTACGTCTTTAAAAGTCTAATTAAGGAGTAATTACCAGGCCTTTACAACATTAAGCAGGAGAAACAGGGTTTAAACTCTTGTGACATAGGTATGTATAAAGAGAGATTCTTAGACTTTGTACATGTTGACCTTTATTATGTTTTTAATTATGTTTTTAATTTTGTCCCTTTTAAATCGTTTTATGGTTTTTGTCTGTAATCCACCCAGAGTTACTTAGTGAGATGAGTAATGTCTAAATTTGATTAAATAAACAGGGTCAGTTATATTTACGATAAACTTTAACGTATCCACACCTCATTATTGGATTACAGTAAAAGCATTATTACAGAGTGAGTTATAATTCTTAGACAAACATTTAGCAGTGTCTTGAAAGAAAGTATTGAGAACACATAAGGCCAGTTGTTCATCAGGAAGTTGTTGATCCCATAAGAAACTGAGTTCCATTCTTAGTTGCCTGCATTTCTCATTGTCTGAATACCATCACTAGGTTAAAAAATTATGGTAGTCCATAATGCATTTGCCTGGTATAAATTTATTATGATGATTGCAGCGCTCCAAAAGTATTCACTTAATTTTTTGTGTCCTTTAAACTTCAATAAAATACTTTCCTATGCTTGGTTCTGAATGTACTTTTCATGGGCCAACTGTGTTGGCTGCATGTTTTGATCTTCTCTGCAATGCTTGTGATGAAACCCTTCAATACTATCTTATGATCTAGCTTAGATGTTTCTTTGTTGAATCTCATTAGAAATTAGAGAAGTGCCAGTACATAAACTCCTATGCAATGGTTGGTGTAAGCAGAGAATGGGCCATATTGAGTAAGGTATTAGGCAAAGTACAATAATATTAAGCCAAATATAATAACAATTATTCAAATTGGAATGCCGATACTTGGCAAATGCATTATATTTATGAAGATTTATACTGTAACTGAAATATTGGTGCCCTCTAGTGTTTTTGTACAATATCAACCAGCATTGATCACAGAAAATAATGCTCCAAATGAAACATGCTTACCTCAGAAAATTGAGTTTTCCTTTAACAGCAGCAAATATGTGGCATTTTTTTAATTTCTGTTTATATTGTGGAGAACAAAATGCTCCATTTTTCAGAGGACAAGCTACATAGTTTATCTTTGATTATAAATGCTGTCATTAAAAACATTTTGTTGGGGAAAATAATTATCACTTTGATCAAATGCTAAACTGTTGGTTTAAAGCAAGAACCAAAGAAAACAAAATATGAAACCTTCATTATATATGAAAGGGTCAAGCCATTTTTCCCCAGAAACTACCATTCTTTAAAAAATCAGTGCAAAATATATATTTTTAAACATTTTAAAAATATGGAGTTATGCCATATGATATTTACTGTTTCTTCTGCAAACGTTCCCTACATTCTCCCATTTCTAGATTAATGCTTTGCAACATTGAGTATTGGTAAAGAAATGGAAAATTGATTGTGGGATAGATATTCAGGCATTTGGAACTGACATTTTTATGTTGATGTTTTTTGTTAATTAAGCCACATTTATTTCTATTTTCTGTTATTTTATCTTAACTGGTTTTTTGAATGGAGGTGTTCAGGAGTAGTAGATGTCTGATTGGAAGACAGAATAACTGAACCCTTCAATTTAGAGTTTGTAAAACAAAGGAGATGATAATTCCCTCATGGATTTAATTCAAAGTAGACGCAGAGGTAAGCTCTTTAGTAACTAAGCTGGAAGGCAAAACTAGAAAAACTCTATGCCCTTATTATGACTTATACAATGGCAGAAATGGGAGGTGCATTAGGATCAGAGGTGTACCTATTGCTCTTCCCCAACACCTACAATCTCTGTGGGTAAAGGATTCATGCAGCTCTCAGACCTTACAATATGATGGGAAGAATCTCAGTTGCGATAGGGAAGATAGCAGAAATAGCTTCAATTTTTTTCAAAGTTAAATGGAAGGAAAAAGTTTGCTTTGAATTACTGCTTCATGAATTGTTAACAGAATACATAATGTTCATATGTCTAGGTCCAATTCACACATCTTAGTAAGCCATAATGGGTCTGCTTTGGTTCTGTCAGTATGCATTGTGGTTTGTAAACCAGGGTTTATGTCTTATAGTTATGCATAAAGAAGGCCACCATAACTTGCTCTATACCGTTGTGGCTTAGTATAATGTGTGAATCCAGCCATAGTTGTATTTAGACTTTGTGGTATATGATTTGTATGCATACATGCCTATGGGTAGTATCCAAAAATTTAGAAATAGAATCAGTGACATTTAATAGTGATACCTTTTCCTTGTAGAATGTTTGTCACTAATGAAATAAGGTCCAATCAATGTTGTTTAGGCAATTATGAGCTGTCACAGATACATCTGTTTACTGCCATCAGATTATTGTTTGTGGGATGTAGGTTTTGCTTGTTTTTATAGCGATAAGAGTACATCATTTTCTCAAGAAAAAAATGAGTTAATATTTCTTCCAGAGAGACAGTCACATTCTTGTTAGCATACTTTAGACAAAAATGCCTCCCCTCTCACCCCGCAATATAATCTGCTAACATGAAGGAGTGTGCTGAGCTTTCAAAAATCTTCCACAATATTGTGGGGGAAATCACATTGGGAGAGGAGGCAGTAGAAGTAGCTTCCCATTTTTTTTCAAGTCCAAGGGGAGAGAATTACTCCCTTCAAACTTCTGTTTCATGTGCGAATACTCCACCTCCAAAAAACTGGAGATTAAAATAGAATAAATCATTGGAGTTTAATGATCTATTCTGTGATATAATATGCAAAACTTGCAGTTGTAATGTTATCTTCTATTGTGCTAAAGAGAGTTGGAAGTTGGTGCCTTTTTCTTTCCCTTTTCCCTCTTTACACCATATTTCTATGCAACCAACTCAGCCTAATCACCAAATAGAATATAAATATTCATAAATGGTGCAGTAGTTTGGCAGAGTGCAAGCCTGTTTGTCAACCCATAGAAATCCCAAGAAAACTGCATGCACTGCTTGGCCTTAGTAGGAAGGGAAAAAAGGAAAGAGAATTGCAGTTGGAATGATGGGAAATTACAATGTACTGCCAGGAAAAAGTCCATACAGATAAGCACTTATTCATTAATCAGACTGTAGGAGGAGGCCTTATTATAATATAAGGGCTCTTCTATTTCTGTTGCATTTTCATTGGATAATGGGAATATACTTATGAAGATTGAATTATTTCTCAACAGAGATTAAGTGCTCTGGCTAGACCACACACAGAAAACTAAATAACTGATATTGACAATCAGGAATGCATATCAAATAGACCAACTTTCTACAACTTTCTGACCATTTGGGTTTAGATTTGATAATCTTTAGAAGACAAACTCTCTTTAAAATGACTGGCCAAGTCAACACCAGCATTCTCTATGCATTAGCCATCCATTCCAGAGATGCAGCTCCATGTTAATATTGGCTGTGTGGATAGACACTGATAGTGGAAGGTTGTCCTTACCTGCACAAACTGCTCCAGAGCTTGCCGATCCAAGCACGTATAGTTTTGCAGGAACATAAGCTTCTTCATTTGGAACTGATCTCGACTCTGGGCTTCTGCCTGCTTCTCTAGCAGCTGGAACACCATGGCTCCCAGGAGGAGGTAAAAGAGATACCCGAGCACCAGTGTCAGAGTCCAGCTAAGCTGCCGGTTGCACACGGTGAGGTAGGGCATGGCTGTTGGTGGGCAGGCAGACCTGACCTAGTGAAGCCAAGCGTTATTCCATGGGTTAATGTTCTTTCTCCAAGAGGCATAGAAGAATTGCACAGCTGTCTTTTCAGCACACACAGCTAAGATCGTGTTTAAACAGCTTGTGAGCATCAGGTCTAGACAACACTAGACTAAAGCAAACAGATTTAGCTCCCACCTCTTTTCTTCAGTTGGGAGTAAAATCACACAGGTTTGTTGCTGCATTTCTGGTAACAGTGATGCATTTTTGTTCACAAGTAAAAGATGGAGAAACTCAGTATTTCTCACATTTGGGGATTGGCAAATTGGGCCAAAAGACTTGGAAACAGACTTAACTAGCACTATTGGAAGTTTCTGTACTGCCAGTGACAAATAATAGGGTAAGCTACAGTAGCAATCTCCAGCTTGATGCCTTCCAGATGTGTTGAACATTAACTTCTATAATTCCTAGCTTGAGTGCTGCATGATGCAGATTTTCTTTTGTTTGTTTCTTTTCCATTTCCACAGTATTAGCAATTTGGAACATCATCTCATACAGCAGTTATATAGCACTGATCAGGAACAGGGCACAGCAACTCCTGATGATATCAGAATTAGGAACCAAGTATCCTTCCAAAAATTGCATTTGAAAAATCATGTGCAAATAGGAAAAGTTGGCATAGAAGTAATTAAGGGCAACCATGTTTAAGTCACAGATAAGGTGTCTTGCCATCAGATCCAAGACCTGTGGAAATGGAAAACCAGAAGAGGAACTGAAATGCTTTCCTGCACTGGGCTCACAAGAGAGGTTCAGGTAACCTACTCTGTTTGTGCCTCACTTGTTCTGAGCACACGTGAGAGAGTAAAGAGCTAAATAAGCAATATGTGTCCTAGTGCCAAAGTACAGTAGCAATGTGTCCTCTGTTATCGCCTATGATAGGAGTGCTTTGTTGCCATCTAGACATGTGGTTGCTGTGGAAAAGAGCTCTCTGCATATCATATACACAGACCCAGCTTCTTAGTGTAGCATAGGCCAATACCTCTTCACAAGGAGAAACACCACTATATACTTCAATCTACACAGTGCCTGTTTCTACATGGACAATAGGATTTTTTCCTACTCCAGATGATGGTGCTTGGGAATGTTTATTGTTGTTAATTTAAATTTATTACCTGCCATGTAATACACTCCAAGTGGCACATAAAATTGGAAAATACCTTAACATGCAAAAACATATAAAGCACAAAATAATAAGCATTACAACAACACTTTTTCAAAATATTGAGGTGAATACAGTTTCTTCCTGTGCCTAAATTGTAACCAAGTTAGTATGATCTAACTGAATGGTTTCTAATAATTGAACTAGGCTGCAGGCCTTAAAGCTCTCCATGTTCCTCCTCCACATGGGATTGAAGGCATGAGTGAATGTAAAACTGTTCAACACATGAATGGCCCTGTCAACTTTATGGAAACTTTATTAACAAGAAACACCTGTAATATAATAAAATTGTATGTTGCCAAAATATCAACAACTCTTAAAGAGACAAACCAGTTCAATATTATATACAACTGAGGGAGATACTCCAGTTATTTGCATAAGAAGCCATAACATATAGGCTTAAAAGACGATATAGGGCCAGCTCCTTAGGGGCCCAAATCTTGATGGTCTGGTTTGTCAGTGGGGCCCTTCTCTGACTTGAGAGACCCTTATTCTTCAAGTACTCTGCTTTAGGGGCCCTGATAAATTGTCAATTGTACTTTCATGATATATAGATGTTATTCAGGGAATCTCCAAAATCACAGAATTCCTTGTCCTGGGCAATGGTTATACATTTAAAAATTTTAAGCAGCTCCAGGGGCCTAGAAGATATAGGAAGAAACAAATCAGGAAGCAGTGCAATGTGGATGTTTTCATAACCAATCTACATCATATTCATTTTGATTAATTCCTTTTGTTAGTTATTTGGAAGTCTTTGAATGTAAAGGTAGTATGTAAATTTACTACAAGGAAGAAAAGGAAGGAGAAATCATGGCAGTCAGTCTCAATGGTATGTATGTCTAGCACCAGAGAAGCTTTATTTAGTGAAATCCAGCTTCCAGTGGCTATTAAAATATCTGAGATCCTTCCTTGAATGGCTGGCACTCCTTCATTCAAGGTCTGCACATCGCATTAGTCAGAATTTCGTAGTTAAAACCAAAGTCTGATTACTGGTGTAGAAACAAACCCATTTAATCAGATGAATGGCAGAGATTTCTAATGTGTTTTGACAGGATTATTATCTCTAATGGTAGGAATAAAGTATGTAAAGTATTATGTTAAAAGACATAATGTATTATGTTAAAGTAGCAAGCACTGCTAATCAATCAGTGGGAAATAAAATATATCACAGAGGTGTTTTATAAAAAGAACGAAGACTTCTACATCAGACTTGTCAGGAGATGGTTTTACCATCAGATTTTAGTTGAAAAAAGATGAGGAGAAATGTTTATTTTTAAGAAAACTATTGTCCAGACAACAGAGAAAATGAATATGTCAGAGGATTACAAAGACCTGAGGATTAAAGTAAATTACACAGCCCTAAAGCTGTTTATTCAGAAGAGCCTAACTAATTCTAAAATTAATGGGGCTTCATTCAGATAAAGGGGGTATAAAGGTGCAACCTTAGTGCCAAATTTCATTCCCAATGTAGAGTTCTTAGTGTTCTCTTGTCATTTATTGCCAATGATTTATATTTTTAAATTTAGTCAAGAAAGATAAACATTAAATAAAAGTAAAAATTTGCATTTTACCCAGAAGTATTCCATATACCCCCATCTGCAAGGGGCAAATGTTCTCTGATGGACCTAGGTGGCATATAAATTTAATGAACATGAGAAAGTGTGAGTGCCAAAGTTGGTGAGACAAAACTTATCAAAACATAGTACAAGTGCTCTCCGTATTCAAGGCTAAAAATGAGTGGTAAAAGTCAATGATCTTATAAGGATAGAAGAAGGACACAAAATTTAAAACTTGGGGCTGTTGTAAAAGGACTTGATCACTTAATTTTGCAATGCCTAATTTTCTCCACTATTAGGATTCTTGGATCAATAATAAAAACTATATGCCTTTCCAAGTATTGTCCTTGACTCTGCTGAATACTGGTTTGAGTTCTTAGTAGGGGGGAAATGCTCCCGGATTGCACCGGATCACCCGATCTGGTAGCAATCTTGGCTGGTGGTTCGGTGATCTGGTAGCGATGGTGGAGTGAAGCTCCGCCCACCCACCCGGGTGTCATTACTTCCTGGTTTTAACCAGGAAGTAATGTATTTATCTTCTGCGCATGAGCAGAATGTTTTGCCGTGCACAGAAGATCTGCATGTGACATGTGTGTGCGCTTCCGAACCGGTAAGGAAGGTAAGTAGATTTCACCCCTGATTCCTAAAGAGGAATAGTCCAACCTCCTACTCCCTATAGGAGTCCTAATTCAATCCTGGACAAATGATTGGCGAATCTTTTCTTGATATATACCAGTAAAATCTCAAGTTAATGGACCATTCAAAAGAAGGGGATGTTTGTTATACCTGTAGGTCTATTGAAACTGATTTTATCTTTTGCATCAATTCACATCATTTTACAATTAACATAATCATCTATAATTAACACAAATGGCTTCATTTGCAATAAAATTTTAACAGGATGGGTATAAAATCAGAACAAAAATGTTTCTATTATATCCAAAGTCCACTGAATTAAATGTATTTTAATTACTAACAAGTATGTCATTTCATTATAAAATCTACATTGTTTCTATCCCCTTTCCTGCCCACATTTTGGCATGCATGCTACCAAAAAAATCAGAGTGCAAATAGTTTTACCACTGCACTTTCATTCGAAAACCGTGTAGTTAATGTTTGAAAGGGTTCCTCTGTAATAAGGCAGCTTTCAGTAGTTCCAAAGACTTTCTGTTCCCAATTATGTTCTTAAACTGTGTGCAAAATCATTTCCTGGTCTAATCAAGCGGATGGATGACTAACAAGTACTGGACCCCAGAATCAATCAGCCAGTCCAGAAAGTAGAATAGATCTGTTCTCCATGCCCATCTCCCATCCTGTTATAGGAAACCTGAGTGAAAGAGGAAAACCAGCCAGTATCAAAACAGCATGACCACCTGCTGGCATTTCTGATTCCTTCGTCTTCTGCTGCAGTTGCTCATTCAGTCTCGTTACATAGACATAATGAGTGGAAAGCACCAACACAATTTCCTGAAATATTGCTCACACAAGGCGAGCCTTCTACTTGCACTGTTGATGTTAGCTGGCCAGAAACTGGGATCTTTTCTTGGGACATCTGCCTTTATAGTGGTGCATATAGTCCACCTCAGTGGTGAAATCCAATTTTTTTTTACTACCGGTTCTGTGGGCATGGCTTGGTGGATGTGGCAGGGGAAGGATACTGCAAAATCCCCATTCCCTCCCCACTCCTGGGGGAAGGATATTGCAAAATCTCCATTCCCACCCCACTCTGGGGCCAGCCAGAGGTGGTATTTGCCAGTTCTCCGAACTGCTCAAAATTTCTGCTACCGGTTCTCCAGAACCTGTCAGAACCTGCTGAATTTCACCCCTGGTCCACCTTCTTTTTTTAAAGCTCTGAAACCAGAAAGATAAGGTCAGTGGACGGTGGGCAGCATATAACATTCTAAATATAGATTTATGCATTCCTCCTGCAACTCCTCCTGCTGGAGCAGGATTTGGATAGCTCCTAAAGCTAATGCACTGTATATTATGTAATCATCTAAAGGACAGTGGTCTCCAAGTTCAATTCCTGGTAGAGGATTTTAATTCAATTTAAAGGATCTCTGCCTATGTAAGTCTGATAAGTCCTGAATAGAAAAAAATTGTCCCTCCATCTGGTTGCTCTAGATCCATGATGGCGAACCTAAGGCATGTGTGCCAGAGGTGACACACAGAACACATGTGGGCACATGTGCCGTTGCCAGCTGCTCTTCTGGGTTCCGTCACACGCATGCACACTAGACAGCTGCTCTCTTCTGGGTTTCGGCACATGCATGCACGCCGGCCTAGCTGTCCAGCACGCATGCACGCGATGGAACCCGGAAGAGCAGCTGGCCGCCATGCACATGTGCACTGGCCAAATGCTCTCTTCTGGGTTCTGGCACTCTGGTGCGCGTGCATGCACATGACATGCATTCCAGTTTCGGCACTCAGTGCCGAAAAGATTAACCATCACTGCTCTAGATTATGGTTCAGTGTATTGTTTGATTTCAGGAGTGGATTAATTCAATAACCAAGTTAAATATATAGTTTATTTCTCTGTTCTAACCACTTAGACAAAAATGTATAGAAATAAATGTAGATAACTGTAAGAGACACATGACACAGTACTGTTAAAAAATGCTTATTGTTATGTAAATTGGAAAAATGGAAAATAAAAATTTAAAAATAAATAAATATATAGCTTCTAAGTATTAAAGGTATGGGAGTGTAAACGGCCTGTCAACTGGATTGAAAAGTTATATTTGTATATCACTGGTTCATTGGAACATATAACTGCATACACAGAATTATTTTAGTTCTGTGGTATTTTTGAAAAAAAAAATAGTCATCTGGAATCATCTTAGAAAAGGCAGGTACCTTGATTAGTCATTTGGACAAGCAACTGAGCACAAAGACTGACATTTCCATTTACATCTAGAGTTCAAGTACCAGTATGTGACACCCCCCTCCCCCCAAAAAGGCTGTTCTTGCCAAATGTATGCTGCCTAGAGTCAAAAGAAGGTGGACTAGGATGAAAAAAGAGGCTAGACATTAGAGTTGTAGAGTGTCTAGAGATGAGACACTTCATTCTTCTGCTGAATTATCAATAAGGAAACTGAAATTTCCCCTCTTTTGTCTGCAGTTGTGCTGCCTCTACATGAAAGCAGCAACCTACAGAGGTACAAAATAAAAACATTTTTCTGTTAGTGCTCTGGGACTACATGGTAAGATTATTTGTCTAAGCTTCTTCATTCTAGGATAGACAATGGCTGGGTAGCGCTAATAATCATTAGTTTGGATAACCTCTGTGAACCCAGACTAGCTGCTCTCAATTCATTGCAGTTTCATTGGCTCAGTGCTGTCCTACGTCTTCTGATCCAATTCAGTTTTGTTTTTGTAACAGATTTGCCATACTTTCTATTTCAGCACAGAGAGGTCAATGATTTCTCATTTTAAATCTCTCAAATTTCTTTTTAAATAATCAATTTTGAAATCCTTCATTAGGAATAACTGCAGTCTAGTTAATTGCTTTTTGATTGGCATCAGATAGCACAACTGAAGCCCTTTGGAAATATTTTAAGTGTGCAGGTTGGAATGGAAAATGGAAAATGTTTTCTTCTGGAGGTGGTTTTTAAATAATTTATCTCCATTGGAAGCAATGAGATACATTTCCGTTGGGTTGGAAGCATAGTGAGGAGCTGGAAGAGGGCCTGGGGTCTTCAGTCTGTTTTTGCAGCCTCCTCCCTGCACATCCTGAGGGTTTGTGGGATTCACTTTTCCCATATCAGAAAAAACTAGCCTACTATCAGCTTCTGGTTACTCAGTGGCAGGAAGCTTAATTACTGATTTGTATTTATTCAACACTGAAGCAGGATACTTCTCTACTAAAAAATGAAGACAACCAAAGTCGTAAGCATCCCCCAGCAAGGAATCAAAGGGAAACTTTAACTGTTGGATGGAGCCTTTGCTGAATTGGACTACATTTCAACATTAAAAAAAAAAGGTTGCTATGGAAAAAAAAGGTACATCTTGTATTCATTTCCAGTGAAGTGTAAAAAAGCAGAACCCACTCCCAAATGATATGCTTAGAATGTGTCCTTTGGGCTGTCATGGTGTAGCTATTAGAAAGAAAGGAAAGAAAGGATAAAGCTATGAACTATGTTCTAAGAGCAAAATATACCATGTGAGTGAAAGAAGCTAACCACAGCTTGGACTAGGGAGCTGGACTCTATACTGCAAAGAACTTCATGTGAAGCTGTAACTAATGATGAAACTCTTCCTCAACACTTCCTAACAATTGAAGTCATTACTGTATGTCAGGGCTCTCTTCTGTTCAAGTTTGACATTGCCAATGGAAATTGTGTTGTTAGCCTTTTGGAACATTCTACCGTCTCGGGTCAGATCTATACCTATCCTCTTATCCTTCTGCAGGAGCCTGAAGACTTGCCTCTGCCAGTTGGGAGAGCAGGAATTCCCAGTTGGGAGAGGGGGAACTGAATGGAGAAGTTCCATGCTAGAGGTGGCTGCTGGATTGATGGATATCTCCCCACCACTTGCTCTCTGCTCTCCACCAGTCCATCTTTTTCGTTACCATATTGATGTATTCTTATTGATTTATTTTCATTTCTTTTATTATTCTATTATTTTACTACTGTTTTATTTATACTTTTTTATTGTTATAAACTGCCGAGAGTAGCCCCACGAGCTCCAATACAGGTAGTCCTCAATTTATGACCACGGCTGAGCCCAAAACATATGTGGTTAAGTGAGAAATTTGTTATGTGAATTTTGCCCCATTTTACAACTTTTATTGCACAGTTGTTAAATGATTCACTGCAATTGTTAAGTTATTGTCATGGTTGTTAAGTGAATCTGGCTTCCTGCATTGACTTTGCTTATCAGAAGGTCACAAAAGGAGATCACATGACCTCTGGACATGGCAACCATCATAATTATGAGTCAGTTGCCAAGCATATGAATTTTGATCACGTGACCATGGGGATGCTGCACCAGTCATAAGTGTGAAAAACAGTCGTAAGTCACTTTTTTCAGTGACTTTGTTACTTCAAACAGTCACTAATGGTTGTATGTCAAGAACTACCAGTACATGAAAAAGCCTATTCTAATAAAATGAGTATTTTTGTGACACATCTTTGGGGGTTTGTTTTTGACAAGCTCTTCCAACAGAAGATATGCAACAAGACTTTTGAGTACAGAGTCTTTTGAAAGCTAGAATATTTATTTGTCAATTGTTTGGCAGGAAAAAGGTAGAAAAGAGGAGGGAAGAAAGAAGCAAGCAGAGAGACTGTTGAATAAACGGAAAATACTGTAGCACTGAGTTCCCATTTTGAAAAAGTCATAACCAGAATTTTCGATTTCTTTTAAAAATGCTTCACTTGTGCAATTCCAGCTGCTGTCTGAAAATGATAATCACACTCTATTCTTGCAATTTGTTCTAACATCTTTGTCATTTAGCAAAATGGTTGCAAATGTGTATGTGAGAGACTGTGAAGATCACTGATTGCCGCCATTTCCTTTAGATAAAATTCTCCAATTCTGTGCCTGACCCTTTTGTTGTTGTTGTTGTTTTTCCCTCCTTGCACAATTGCATTATCTGTTCCTGAACTGCTTTTCTCTGCAGTGCAACACTTTCCTAAAAAGTGCTAACCACAAATTAACAAACTTGGCTGTGACCTTCATCAGTTAATTAGATGCTCTGTCTTCTTTCATCGGTTGCATGAAACTGATCACACCTTAATCAGTTTCATGCTGAAGGTGTGTTTGTTGTGAGGCCATGAAACTTGGCTGGAAATATACACATTGGTGAGAAAATGGTTTTATTATTATTATTTATTACAGCCATAATAGTCACTAGATAGAGAATAGAGAATAGTCACTAATTGAGTGGCTACTATGCACAGGATTACTCACCACCCACACTACCAAATATATTTGTGAAATTGCTTTCGTTCAAGGAGTAGCTCCATTAGATGTATCACAGTGTTTACTAAATTTAACTGAGAATGAATTTGAACTATTTTTAAATTTTTTATTTGAACACAGGAGATGGAATCATAATGCTGATTTTAAAACGTAAAGTTAAATATTTTTAAGAGATAAAATTAATTATGTCACAGTCTAAGATGGGAATTTGGGAAGAACATAAGGTAATCAGGTAATTATCTCAGGAAAGAAAACAGTATTAAATGCTATAAAATTGTGACAAGGAATAAATATACTGTAACGTACTCCACAAGGCACATTTTGGCAGATCCAGTTGCAGAAGAGTATTTGGCTAAGATATCAAAAGTATAATTCATAAAACAAATTCATATCTTTCTAATTTTGTAATTTGAGATTCTTCCCAATATATAAATAATTTCAAATATAATTGATTTGTAAAATTAATATTTCTACAAAACTTGAAAAATTAAGAACATTCTATAATAATATTAACATTAATATAACTATAATGATGAGGATAATATCAATATTACATAAAGATAAGAACAATGGCAACAATGGAAGTTTGGGGAACAAAACCTGCATGGTTCACCAATTCTTTTTAAATTCTTTGCACAGAACCAAAGGGAGATGTTTTTCTTTTTTTAAAAAAAAAATAGTTCTGCTAGAAATATAGCCTCCGTTTATGATTTAGCAAAGGCATATTTTGAAATAGAAACAAACAAGTAAACATAGCTCTTTGATATTTAATGACATTAAAGAAAATCACCAAATGCCTCAAGAACTCCCTGCTTTGGTCAACACAATATATATGCTTATAAACTAGAGTAATTCAGATCTTTATTAATGATTTCAATGTATTAGTTTGAAATTACAGTCACATGCATTCACTTTTTGCTTTCCTTTTGCTCCCCTTGCCGATAAGAATCTCAGAAGGGAAAGGTGAGTATGACCTTTATAATCCTTGCTCATCTCAGCACTCTTTTCACCCCGGGTTTCTCTGCAAACAAAGCAGCAATTTGCTCTGGCTGAAAACGATAAATAGTGTTTACTATATTGACAAGTTTAAACAGCCATTGGTTAGATATCATAGATGCTGGTTAGTATTCAGCATGCATGAGAGATTATTTACTAGGAAAACTTTTCCACTGGCAATTAAACTGACTGAAACACAAATATAAACCTGTGCTTAAAATCACAGCTTCTGCTCTGTAAGCACCGAATGGTTTTTCCAAGGAGTAGGGGAATAATTGAAGTCATTTCTATATGTACATTGAAAAATGCAATCCTATGCATGTTGCCAGGGTGTAGGCTCAATTAAACATTGTGGGACATTACTAAGTCAACATATGTCTCTGCTCCATGATTAAAGATCCTTACACATTTAGCAGTTATCCTTTTTAAACTATGGCATTTTCTTCTAAGTAAATGTACTGTCCCGTAAACATCGCTTAGGAGTGCGTGAAACTACAGAATATTTATATGTCCTGGAAAATGTAAGGAGAAATCTGAAACTGTTTCATATGCCTCCTCCTCCTCCATTAATGGGTGGGATGAAAGAGAACAAGCTGAAACTGAATTCAGGAAAAGTGGAAGTTTCCTGTTAGTTAATAGGAAACTGGAGATTCAGCCTGGTTTGGATGGAGTTAAAGGTCCATCATCTGGATGAACCAGATTAGCTTCTCATCAATTCTCAGCTGTTTTTGGATTTTTATAGCAAGGACCACTTTTGTACAATTAGAGGTAGTATGTCAGTTGCAACTATTTCAGCTCAGATGTAGCGATAATTATCCATGCCTAGATTACATTTTGTGTGGACTGCTGCAATCTACTCTGAATGGAACTACATTGAAACAGATCTGAAAATGAAACTGATGCCAACTATAAGGATTATATGATGCCATATTGAAGGATCTGCATGGCCAATTGCCTAATAGGCACAATTTAAAATAGTATTACTGATCTTTAGAACTATAAATGGTTTAAGACTATCAAAAACCAACTTGTATGTTTATAAACCTGCTTGGGCATGCCAGGTTGCAGTAGATGCCTTTCTGAAGATGTCCCATTCATTCAAGGCTATCTTTCTGGGATGTAGGGGAGGATCATCAGCCCCGCTTCCAGACTGTGGCATATACTCTTATGTGTTTGGCTCCTTCTCTCTTTATTTGGAAGAATAACTAGGACACATCTCTTTCACTAGGCTTTTATTAATGAATGAATGATTACAGTGGTGTTAACGTATAGGTTTGAATTTTATTTGTTTGTTTGTGTTTAGATAAGGCTGTGCAAAACATTCAAAGGAAGTTCTTTGCAAAGTGTAAGCAAAGCATCTCACTTCCAAATGGGAAGCACCTGCATCTTCTGGAAGCCTTGGCACGATTACTTCTTGGGCCTTCCTCGGTTATGCATACCAACGCACTTGGCAAATTCACACTTTTCAAATGCTTTGTACAGTCCTGGCCTACTTTTTCTTGATCATTAATCAATTGTGTACTCAGATTAAGTATACTGGTGGAATACATAAATATGTATTTATGTATTTATCAAATACATAAATAAATTCTGTGCCTTTGGAGAACAGGGTTCAAATGTTTGTCATGAATGGGGAGAAAAAAATAGTAGGTAAATTAGAATGAAATTTAAATGCCCATTACTTGATTTTGTAGGAAACTTGGTATGATTTATCTCTTCCTCTTTTTCCTGTCTGTGGCCTCTGCACTGATTGACTGCCTCTAAAGATATTGTCTGACTACAATTCTGAGGCAGAAGGTCACTGTTCTGAAGACTAGTTGTGCACATTCAGCCTAATTGAATCCTAAATTTTCCTAAGAGGAATTATTTAAACATCTGTTATATGATCAGTAGCAGAAAAGGCTAATGCAGTGGAGAGCTATTAATCGAGCTATAGTTTCCTGGTTACGGAAAATAATAATTCTGCTTTATTGGTCTAGTTCTGGTCATTGCATTTGAAGGAAGACACAGTAATTTATAATGAGTTCAGAGAAAGGTAAAACAGCCTAATGCTCAATCTCCATCTTATGGTAACCATTTCATGGGCTCTCCCCTGAAGGTACATTGGGAGTGAAAATGGAGTTGGGAACAGTGGAGGAGTGGCCCCATTTGTGGCAATTTCTTTCATTGGTTTTACATTCAGAGGACAAAAAAGAAGATAAGACAGACTAGTCCCAATCACCTTTAGATGACAAATGGAATCATTTTAACCCTATTACTAGGAACCATGGTTTAAAATTACATTCAAGGCATCCACCTTTAACCATAGTATAACCCATGGTGAAAGATCACATTTCATGATTAAGCAAATAAGATCTGTATCTCTAAGTGACTAAGTCATTATTTTGCTTTACTCTTATTAAATGAAGATGTTCTATACATCCAGCATACCCAAAGGCCAGCTATTACAAATACTAAAAGCACTTTAATAAAGTATCTTTCCTAGTGGTTTTAGGCTATAGATTCAAGAGGGAAAAAAGGGATATCAATGTATTTTTCTCTTGCTTTAATTATGACTTGTATTAGGCAATAGAATGTTCTAGTAGTTTTTATATTTAATGAAAGGGAATAATTGTTACTCAAATGACACACAGAAGCAAACTTTTGAGCACAATATTCTTGGACAATAACTCTGCATAGAAGAAAAGTCGGTCCATAAAGATGCAGGATTCCACACCTGAAAGGCAATTATAGAAATCTTGGGGAGGGGGAGGGACATTTGGAAACATAATTCAGTACATGATCCCCAAGTATGTTATTTAAAAAATGCTAGCTTAGTTAACAATACTAAATTGTTGTGCTGTACTAAATTACAGTAAGGAAAAAAGGTATTGCTATACCTGCAGTTGTCAGTGAGACTCATCACATACAATCTGAATCCTTCCCGACCTCCAAGTCTAATAAAGCATTCCAGTCCAAAATTATCTCATAAAAGTCTAAGGGAGTCCTTCTGTGTTAGATGAAGAAATAAGGCTTGGAAGCGATGACATTTGAAAACCAATAAAACTCCAATAAAGTGCATTTATGGTTCCTATCACAAGGCTTTTGGCTTTTCTGTTCTTGATGTTCCAAGTTAGAGCTTGTTTCACTTTTTTGATATTATGAAAATAATGCAGACACAGGTTGAGTGCTACTCTTTGCAGAAAGTCATTTTCTCTTTCTCCTACTCTCCCTCCCTCATAAATACAGCTGCAATTCCATTTGTCCTAATGTTACAGTTACTTTGTCTAATTTTAAAATGAGGCCTTGCTGCATAAATCAGAGTTTACTTGTCTCCCAATCCTGAAAAGAGAAGAAAAGGCTGTCAGGCATGAATCATATTATACACATTAATAGTTTAATGATTACAAATCTTTAGAGGTCATCTGAAATCTGGTCTTTTTTAGAATAGTATTACTGCCATCCAGAGAGTGATCTTAGAGACTGAAGGCTGATTATAAAGGGATCCTTTAATGATCATACAACTGTGAAGATAAAATTATTTACTAACAACATAATAATATTCCAGGACAGCAAATATATTAGAATGTAAAGTTACTCAAAAACAATAGTTAAAACTCCAGTTTATTTATTTATTTTTTACAAAAGAGGAAATGCTATTGATGCAGTAGGATACTCCAAGAGAGTATAATCACATGACCACCTTCCTATTTTAATCACTCTGGTCTGCACATCTTTACATTTTAGAAAGCTACAAAATGAGATTTGGTGTTCCTCAACTTCTTTTTTGGTCCATTTGTAGAAGACATTACTTCCACTAACCTATGCACCCCCAGACTGTGTTTTATTCCTATTTATGAAGTTTCTTTCTAAATTCACCAAATTCAGGCCCCAAAGGCCAAGAGATGACATAAAGAAGATCATTGCATTAAAATTTCAAATATCAGAAAAAATGTTGCTGTACTTTGGAATATTCAAAGGTCATGAGTTGAATGACTAAAGTTGTGTTTAGCAGAAAATGGCAACAAATTTGAATATGTAATTAATATCTTAAATTTAACATACAGTAAATATGGACCTGATTTTTGGTACACCACCGCATAGTATAATAGGGCTCTATTTTGGCTACTAAGATAACATTATTGAATTGTTGAAATGTCGGAATAAAAGAATAAGTTAGTTATTCTTATCCCATTAGTACACAGGTGTCAAAATTGCTGCGTCATGTTGCAGGCCTGCATGTGATGCATCCGGCCCGTGGGCTGCCAGTTTGACTTCCCTGGTCTAGTAGTTCAGTATGACTAAATTAACCAAAACCATTTTTCTTCCAGTATTTATTGTGAAGAAACCACATTCTGAGAAATGGCATAGACAAGATCTCTTACTGCACCCTAAATACTATTCAGAATTCTGTTTATTGATGAAAATTTATGTAATAATATTTTGGATGTTTCCAAGGCCATGCAGACTTTTAACAAAAAAATTAAAAATGATATTAAAGAGGGAGGTAAAATTCAAAAGAAGTAAAATCTGCAATGTAAAACAGGGTGAATCATGGAAGATTAGTTAAAAGTTTTCAATTGATAAAAATCTGAGCACTTAAGAAGTAGCTTGCCTGGGTACCTAGCAAGCTCTTCTGAGAATGGCATTTAACATGCAAAACACCATAGCCAATAAAAATGATCTCTCTGACTACTGCCTGTTTATCTCAGATGGTGATACAACTGAGAAGTGGACTGTAATGGAATGACTCAGGTAGTCAGATTCAACAGAGTGGAACTGGCACTGGCAGACAGATCGAATCTCAATTCAATCCCTGACAGATTGCACTCAGAAGCATTACATTAAATAGCATAAGAAAAAGATAAAACTATTACAAATAATAAGTGTAGTGCAATGGGCGAGAATAGTGATCTTCCATACAGTTTGGGAGCAACCATCCAGGTAGGAGTGGAACTTATAATAATTGCATATTTCAACGTTAGTTTATTATGAAAAACACTAGTTGGTGGAATTTCAGCTATGGTTGATGGACTGAAAGCTGCTAGAGGGCAATTAGGTCTTTGAGCCAAAGTCATCTTCCCACAACTGGAACTTCTAAAGAATCTCTTGAATCGCTCTCCCATGCAAATTTATTTTCTTTTGGACCAGGGTTTTAAGCAGTCTGTGAAAATTCAGACCCTCTTAAGGCTGCCTTGCACTTTCTTCAGAAAGAAAGGGATAAAATTCCAAAAGTTGATTGTCTGGTACTATATGTTTGAAAGTGGTGATGTGCATCGTCTTCATTCTGATCAAGCCATCTTCAGGGAATTGGCTTTGGGAGTTTGTGCTCATAGTCAGGATAGGTCAACAGCCATACATCATTCAGCTCCTCCTTTTCTATAAACAATGAAGTGGATTCTAAGATTAATGAAATCAGTTAAGTCCATGGAAGGAGCTTCTTCTCTCCTACTGAAAAACTTTATGAATGGAATGGGCATCCTTTTCAACTATGTGGCTCAGTCCATGACAGAGGTATGCTCGAGCTGGCTTGTACTGATTTAAGAAAGAAATATTGTTAAATTTTCTGGAATTTTGTGAGCTGGTTGAGGGCAGAGCAGAGCTGCTACAACTAGCATTATGCTGCTATCTAGCAGCATAATGGCAGCAATGGAATTAGCAGAGACAGTTGTTATACATTTACAAACAAACCACAGGTCTATGAGAAACTATTTTTAAGAAAATGAATTTCTGGAAACCGGGTGAAGATCAGCAGAAATGTGAATGATTTCTTTTTCTTTTAACTGTTGCCCTATTTCAAATTGTTCAGAAATTTTCCTTTGACTCTCTAAAGTAAGTTTTGGAGAGCACAAGTAGCTGCTAGAGAGAGGAGAGTATAGGAAAAAAATTACGCCATTTATCTTCCTTAAAATGCATTATTTACAACACATACTAGTGGTTCTTGAACTTTTCTTTAACATTATCATAGTTTTTATTATTTCAGTACTGATTTCTTTCGCTGTAAGAAATCTGTAATAATTGAAGCAACCCAAAGAATCCATAAGATTTCGCTATTTTATATTAGCTATTTTTATAACTATATCACAGCAAATAATTTCTGTACACTGAACAGATTTTAGAGTTAAATGTTGGAAAAGATCTTGGCAAACTAAAGTTCCTTGCTCAGATATTCCTTGAGATTTTTAAGAAGAGACTGGACAGCCATTTGTCTGGACTTTTATAGAGTCTCCTGCTTGAGCAAGCGGTTGGACTAAAAGACCTCCAAGGTCCCTTCCATCTATGTTATTCTGTAGTTCAGATTGTTCATGAACTACATATGTAGTTGCTGAAACTGACTTTAGAATGGCCTTGCCAGCTTCTCTAATTGTGAACTTCTCCTGTAAACATTTTTCTAATGATTTTACTATAATAAAATTAGATAGGCACATTTAAGGCCAGGTCTACTTTTCTTGCAAACATGCATCTTTTCATAAACTAAAAATTGGGTAGCTTAAACATCAAGAGAATTTGTAATTATTCCATGATCGTTGGGGAATAAACATTTATTCAACCAAATTATATGCTCAGAAAGAATTTAATAAGAAATTCATTAAACTGAGACATATGACACCTTAAAGACTAAGTGAGCAGAATATTTGCTCTGGATGGAGGAGGGTTTTGTAACCTCTCTATTTACACCCAACAATTATTCCTGATAACCAAAGAGATAGATTAAAACACTACTGTGGGATAATGCTAACACCATCTGTCAAGTCAGGTGCTACTAGCTTGATGAATAATGCTGTAATCAGCACTCAAGAGTTGATGGAAAGCTATGGTTTCAGTAATTAGGCTGCTTTTAGATATTCAGTATAATTTGTTCCTGTCACTACAAACCTCTATTAAAAGTAATCTCCTATTCCTTTATTAATAGTTCCCTTTTTACCATTAGGTGATACTGTTGTCTCTGATATTGAGTATGTTTCCTAACCTACTACTTTTAATGACCAGAATGAAATGGACTTTTTTGTCATCTAGGAACTAATTCATATTTGGAATGTGACAAATTTGGCAGACTTAATCCAGGATCAGGGATCATTCTACACTACACAAATAATATAAATTGTAACTAAATATGTTGATGCCTATGCAGTTAGTTTCTACTTATAATTATTTACTTACCTGTAGAAACAGTGACTGTCATAGGAACCAATTTATATTAAAATTCAATTCAGAATAAAGATCTAAGAGACTGAGATAGCTTGTATGAGCATAATCTAAATACTGTTTGTAAGGCTATATAAAAGTACATTCTATGCATTCTTAAATTTGATTAATTTGAACGTTACTTTCTATTGATTTTTACTTATCGTTTTCTCCATCTTTTAGGATATTATCTCACCCTACTTTGAGTCACTAGATTTGAGAAGTATCTATGGTTAACAAAATGAATATGAATGTTAATTTCTTTTTTCTCAAAACAAAATGGTTTTGTTGTATACTCTAAGGCAGTGATGGCTAACCTTTTCTGGACTGAGTGGGCAAAGCTCGTGTGCTAATGTGGGCGAGCCCGAACCCACAAAATGCAATGCAGCCCCCGCATATGCGCCTCACCCCGCGCATGCCCCCCCACATGTGTGTGGCCTCCCACATGCACCCCACCCCTGCACATGCGCGGCAGAGACTCGAAGACCAGCTGGCCGGCAGAAGGCGTGTGCACATGCACAGTGGAGCTGAACTGGGGCAACGGCTCATGTGCCATCAAAGAGGGAGCTGTGTGTCACCTCTGGCATGCGTGCCGTAGGTTCGCCATCAATGCTCTAAGGCATACACAGAAAATCCTGATGGAGCACCAAATTTCCTACTTTTCATTGATATTCGAAAAGATAGCTTGTCTGATAGAGATAGCTTGTCTGATAGAGCTTCTCACCTCAAATGACAATATTTACTTGTCATTCTCCATATTAGCATACCCAGATTCTATCAAATTGGCTAAAGAGAATATTATTGCTTGCTCATTAATTCAATATTCTACAATATATTAATGTCTATAGAGGCATTGTCAGGAATGTAAGACATTAAAATATTCCTTTTCTCTCTGGTTTCAAGAATATTTTAAATTATTTTCACAATGTGAAAGCAGCCAACTAGCCAACTTCTATTTATACATTTCAGCCAACTAGCCAACTTCCAGCTAGTTAGAAGACATGATGGAAACTCCACAATTTCACAATACATAGGCAGACTCAACCATAGTTTCAACTGGGAACCTTTAAGCATTCTAGACCAAGCCGGCGTCCCGATATAGCCACTGGTGCCATCGCTAGCTATTGGGAGCAAGTCACTGGCCCCCACAGAGAGGGCTCGCAACTTGGGCGTCCTCCTGGACGCACGGCTGTCTTTAGTAGAGCATATGACGGCCGTGGCCAGGGCGGCTTTTTATCAGGTTTGCCTGATTCACCAGTTGCGTCTCTTTCTGGATTGGGACTCCTTACGCACGGTCACTCAGGCACTCGTCACCTCCCACCTGGACTACTATAATGCTCTCTACATGGGGCTCCCCTTGAGGAGCATCCAGAGGCTCCAACTGGTGCAGAATGCGGCCGCGCGGGGGATTATGGGAGTGACGGGGCGCTCCCATGTGACACCCCTCCTGCGCGAGTTGCATTGGCTCCCGGTGGTCTTCCAGGTGCGCTTCAAGGTGTTGGTTACCACCTTTAAAGCGCTCCATGGCTTAGGGCCTGGGTACTTATGGGACCGCCTTCTGCCACCGATAGTCTCCCACTGGCCAGTACGCTCCCACAGAGAGGGACTCCTCAGGGTGCCATCGGCCAGACAATGTCGGCTGGCGACCCTCAGGGGGAGGGCCTTCTCTGTGGCAGCACCTGCCCTCTGGAACGACCTGCCCCCGGAGATACCTGGTAGGATCCCAGATCTCCGTGCTTTTCACCATGCCCTTAAAACTTTTTTATTTCATCAAGCAGGGCTGGCTTAACACACACACCCCTTTAGATATTTTTAATTGTTAATTAATTTTAGTTGGGGTGTTTTAAATTTATTGGGCCAAAATTTGTTTAATTCTTTTTATAAAAATTTTTTAAATTTTGTATGCGATGTTTTTAGTCTTGGCTGTTCACCGCCCTGAGTCCAGTGGGAGAAGGGTGGTATAAAAATCTAATAAAATAAATAAATAAATAAATAAATAAATAAATAAATAAATAAATAAATAAATAAATCCCCAAATCCCAGGGAATTCCTGGAAGCTTGGCATTCAGACAAATCAGCCATCAACATAGAGATAAACCACATTTACACACCATTCAAAAGAGACAATAAAAAAACGTCCTCTGAGGAAGTAAATTCTGAATTTAGTAAATAGCATTGGGTCATTCTCTTCTACCAGTTATTGGATAGACATATTCCACACTATGTTTTCTTCTCTGTAAAATGATTCCTACACCAACTCCTCTGAAGTGACCTTGAATCACTCTGGTAACTGTATGCCTTCAATACTTCAAATCTATCTAATTTCAACTTGACTTCCCACTCATTGTTCTCCTGCTTTTAGATTCCAGTACCATATATTTCTTACAAACCTTTTAGCCCATGGCTATCAAACTCGATCACGTCATGTGGCGTATTGTGACATATCACATTTTTTTTCCTTTGCGGAGCTAGGTGGGTGTGATCTGCGCATGGAAGCATCCAGCCTGCGGGCTGCCAGTTTGACACCCCTGTTTTAACCCTTTTCAGTTTATCCCACCTGTGAAAGATTCTTTGTGAAAGACCTTATCTGATTTTCTTTCAGCTCTTTCCCAGGTTCACTACAAGTAAAATCTAGGAGATCACATAATACAATGGCAGAATTTGCTTTCTTGATTCCATCACATTATTTATAAATTATAAAAGGACAGGTTCCTGTCGAAAAACTATACCATCTAAAAGCCAAAACAAATATGTTGAGAGAGAAGAGGGGGGAAACACTGTTAATGATAACTATTACATATTAGTTACATATTTCAGTGTAATTCTCTGTTTTCTTTTTATAAATCTGGATAACACTGAATTTTTAAAGCTTATACAGATCACTTGGTCAACTAACACATTTAATAAGAATTACCTTTTTTATGTAAGAGGTTCTTTCTAGCTCTAATGAAAGCTATAATATCAGCATCAGTTTGACGATCTCCTGTGAAGGGGATGGTAGAACTTGGATCTGGTGAAATCCTGAAATAACCAAGTGCATTTTTCAGTTTTCTTTGCTGTTCCAGACCGAGTTGGATATTGAACTTCCTTATGCAGAATATAAATTTCACCTATCTGAATTCTGCTTATTTATTTTATCTGGCTTAAGATAGAACTCATTGACAAGTTCCACTGAAATGAAGGAAGCTACCTATTTTTTAAAATTCTAAAACGTTGCTTTGGAACATGGGTGTGTATGCCGGGAGCTCCTTAAAAAAAAGACATATGCTCTTCTATATCTATCTTCTTCCAGCTGTCCTCGTATGCCCCCAAATACCTTTATGAATTCAAATCTGAAGCATCGATGGTTGCAATCAACAGTGCCTGGGGGAGTATGAGCTCTCTTGTCTTTTCTTAGAATAATCAGTTTTAAAGCAGGAATTTACATGTAATCGTTCTCCATGCAATCAGAAGCCGCAGCTGACTGCATAGAGTTTCCCCAATTTAGATCATCTGGCCAATTTATAAACATCTGGATGTAGATGTGACAACAGCAAGGGGCAGCATGCACAGCCCTATTCCCCTTCTGTTCTCTTGTGACAAAGGCAGCTTCAGTGAATATTCTAGAATCTAGATCAGGGGTCTCCAAACTTGGCAACTTTAAGACTTGTTGACTTCCAACTCCCAGAGTTCCTCAGCCAGCAAAGCTCTGGGAGTTGAAGTCCACAAGTCTTAAAGTTGCCAAGTTTGGAGAGCCCTAATCTAGATTCTCAAAAGGTGTAACTACTGCATACCTCATTTTTGAATCTGAGTTGCTGAGTCTGCTCACGCTGCTCTTCACAGTTGACTCTTCATTGGAGCTGGCTCTGCTGTTATTTGGAACCCTGGGAACAGAAAGAGCTGAACTCATTTCAGGTGGCTACAACAAAACTGTATTTTACAAATGGTATTTTCTACCAAATAAGTCAATAAAAATTGAAAATAGTATTTAATTTTATAAAGACTCCAGTTCAAAAACTGGATTGGTGTGATACAGTCAGCAATATGATCACAAATCCTTCTTTTAAAGACTTAATAAATGGAAACTGAGATGCATTAAATATTGTAGCATTGTTTGTTTTGCTAATGCTGTCCCAAGGGAACAATAAGGATGTTTTCTTTATGTATCTAAACAATAGTTATTCTGCTGAAGGTCTACTTATCCATCATGCTGTTATTAAGTTATTACGTACATTGTGTGAACATTCCATTCTGCAACCATATATCTAGAGAAAACATAATTTGCTTTCATGAGATTCTTTCTGTAATTTACACTTGAAAGCTATACAATAATTGTTAGTCTAACCGTAGAGCTTTTATTATGAAAATAATTCTAAACTCTGCTCAGTTACCATTTAAATTCACGAGGAATAGAAATGAAGATACTGAAAATTTAAATATTTTGACAGCTGACGACATCAAATTAGCTTTGTCATCTAAATACATTTCTTAAAACGACTTCATCAGCCCATTTAGCATTGTTTTAAATAATAATTCAGTCTAAACATTTTTTAAACACTATAATGCCTTCCGTCACTCTAATTCAGTTTGGAAGAACTCAAAACACAGAATAAAGTAGTAGTAGGGTTCTTTCACTGAAGTTAGCATCATTCCAACTCTACAGTTTGCGATCTGCCATAGGAAAAATCAAAATATGGAAGCAAGACAGTGTGCCTTCTTTCCGCATCTTCCAAGCTGCAGAAAGTGTTGGCATCCTTTTCTGATGATTCCATCATTGTGATGATGTAGCTGTGTTTGCGAAGTAGCTGATGATGGAGATTCACAGTCGTTCTAGGATTGCAAAACAGCTTCAGTGACTTTTTGAATTTGTTGCTGCTCTCAGACACAAACGTTTGATTTGGCAATGCATTCCCCAGATAGGGTTCTCAGGGGCTGCCTGAATGAACAACCTGCATGCAGCATTAGCAGTCCACTCAACTATGTCTGCTATTGAAGAAACAGTTGCAGCGGATGGTGACTGTCCAAGACCACAACATTTTTCACCATGTATTCCATGCTCTGGACATGGTTTCTGAAAAGTATTGTTGTAATGTTGATCAACAGAAAATAATATTTTCATGAAGGTGATTGAATGCAGTAAGATTTGAAAGTTGCTATCACACCAAGTTCATAAGCTACGTACATCAGGAAAGTAGTTTTGGATAGCAAGAGGACATTCCTTATGTTCAATAACATCTTGCTGTCTTCAGTAAGAAACTGATAGGCTGATGATTTTTTCTTTCACAGGACAGGACAGGACAGACAGGACAGTTTATTTGGCCTTACTTGATTGTCTTCCTTCTTCCTTTATGATTTGGATTATTTTCCATTTCTGATATATCAGAGAATCCTACATATACATGAATTTATTAAATATTTGACTACATTAAAATTTAGTTGCTATTCAATGAAGATTACTAGCATTATATGGTTACTTGCCCCCAGTGTCCTGTTATTTACATTTCCTCAATTAAGTTATTCCTAGTATTTAATATGACGTCAAGAACAGCTGATAGTTTATGCATTGCTCCATTCTCTGAAGGAGAAACTCGTCAGCAAAATATGCCAGGAATTTCCTGGAAGTATTATGGTTGCAAGATAATTTAATTCTCCTATTAATTTACCTCTTACATATTTGAAAGCTACTTTATGCAATTCAAGTGTAGAAAGCAATCATCATGGCCGAGTGGCAATAGTAGATACCAATAACAGTACTGCTTATTCCTCCACCTATTTTAACTCCAATACAGTCTATAGTATTGCTACAATAGATCACTTCAATTTCTAAGCAGATGTCAATATTTAGCATACAAAAACGTCCTGTTTACTATTGCTTCTGTATCTTTTAACAGATCTCACATATTTTTCTTCATGCCTGCAATCCAAATTCCTGTTTATATATGTGTCAGAAACAAAAGCGACAAAGCACTGTGGATGACTTTGGGGTTGAGCATTATGTCCTTATTTTAAACATCAATTCAAAATGTAAATGCCTATTTTAAGATTTAACCACTAGATGGCAAACTTGAGGCATTCCTTATTTTTTTGTGCTGAAATTAAATTCATCCCTTTGAATTCCAAATAGTTAGTTTGACCAAAATAAATAAATAAATAAAGATGGAATGGAAAATACCATCTCTTAATAGTGTCAGAAGAGCCAAGAAAGCATTTCTCCCTAACTGGAGAACAGGGTCAAAGAGTTTGACTCTACTAAAGCAAAGATTTCCTGCCTACACAGCTGAGAAAGCAGGAACAAGCTTTTAACCCAGTGCTTCCCAAATTTGGGTATATTATCCAAAATTTGGTAAAAGTGTTTTTTCTTTTGGTAATGACACACAAAGGCATTACCCAGTCACAACAGGGACACTTAAACTGACCTAAAGTGTTTTACTTACATTGGGTAAAAAAGACTTTTTGATAGTTTGAGGTAATGAGCCTGGATAGCTCTGCAGACTAAGCACTGTAATTTAACACCAGCTGTCTGCAATTAAAGTAAGTTCGAATCTTGCCAGGCTCAAGGTTGACTCAGCCTTCCATCCTTTCTAAGGTAGGTAAATTGAGGACCCAGTTTGTGGGGGCAATAAGCTGACTTTGTATAAAATATACAAAAGTATGAAGGCTATTGCTTAACGCACTGTAAGCCGCCCTGAGTCTCCGGAGAAGGGCGGCATATAAATCAAATTTAAAAAAAAATGAAAGAAAAACTTTGGGAAGCATTGATTTAACCCCACAATGCCTACAGGAGTCTCTTTTTTAAAATGTATATAGTACAGACTCTATCATTAGTTTGTTAAGTGTGTCATAAAAGTTGAATGAAAGAACCAGCCCACAATTATATGGTAGAGATGCACTGAGAACTTGAAACTCATCATCACTTCTTGCTGCATGTCTGCTTTGTTTACTGCATGAGAACATGGAGTGATAAAGCAACTAGGTCAGTGAGATGAAAAACGAAAGTATGTTTCTTACAGATATTAAGTGACTTGCTGAAAGATATAAAATGGAATACAGTCCTCACTTAACAACCACAAATGGAACCAACATCTCTGTTGCTAAGGGATATAAGTGTCATTAAGTGACACAATGCACGTCTATGATGTACTTACTACCTCACTTCCCCTTCAGTTAAATATCACATGACTGTGACTTGAAATTTTACCTTTGACTCTGGAGGATGGAAGAATTGATTGGGTGCAGAGGGAGGAATGTTAAAAGAGAGGGCAAAGAAAGCCAATAAGAATGGATTTGAATTTTAAATATTGGGGTTAACCAGGGTTTGGAGTACTTCTTTTTCTCCATTTCCTTTCTAATTCCCACTGGTCTGAATGAACAGTGGAGAATGGAATATTAAGCTACTGAAATCTTGTTAATATTCTCCTGGTACAAGGGCTTATTGGATAACAATCAAGATTGGAGGACGTGTGGAGACTTCTGTATTTCCTAAAATGATGGCTTTTGATCCGGTTAGTGTTAATTGTGTGCTGGCAGTAAGGTAACTACACTCAAATTGGATATCTGGGTTAGGCATGAAAAAAGACACTGAAATGGTTTTCTGTGTAAATGAAGAAAGAATTTAATTTCTCAAAGTTTCTCAAATTTCTGCGCACTTTCCGCCGTGCCCTCAAAACATTCCTGTTTCAGCAGGCCAGCCTGGCCTAACTTTCCCTTTATATTGCTTTCGATTTTATTTTAAACTGGGATGTCTTGAATTATCTAGGACCAGAGTGTTTAGTATATTTAATTGGTTTTTGTTTAATTAACATTTGTATTACATGTATTTTTTATCGTTCGCTGTTCACCGCCCTGAGTCCCTCAGGAATAGGGCGGTATATAAATTTAATAAATAAATAAATAAATAAATAAAGTGTTTTTTTTTTAACTTCATTTATCAAATAAGGACATTTCATTTTTACCTGATGAAAATTAGATTTGTCTCTTCTGGCAAGTAATTTATTTCAACTGATTAGTCACTGAAATGTAATTAGTTTTGTTTGCTATTTCTCAAAATGTAGAGGTACCCAGAGGGAGAGTGAAACAGAGAAGAAGACAATTGGAAAGAAGAGAAGACAACATGAAACTTTGATATATTTAAAAAACAGAACAGCCATATATCTCAGCATACAGAGGATAATCTTCTCTTTGAAGTGCTGTCAAAGACCCTTCTTGATTTAAAAGCATCATTTATTTTGTAAGACAAGCCTATCTAATTCCAATTTAAGGATAATAAAACATAAGAAACGGATGACTGTGAAATAGTTACATCGAAAGACTCAGGTTACTTGGCACAGAAAATTTTATCCATAATGGCAAGATAAATTACATAGTTTTCTGTAAACTATAGCATTCTATTGTAAGGAATTATAAAACTATGATGTTTTATTTTTAGAATGCCACATACCTTTAAACTTCCAATCATGTATCATAGAAAGCAAGGTTTGTCACTTTCCCCTTTTAGGTAAACCTCAACAATGAATATATGGTGACAAAGTAATATGAGAACAGGTTGTAAAAATGAAAAAGTGTGACCAATAATCTGATGTTTGTATAGTATTATATATCTTGAATCTAATGACCTACAACTATAGATAATATATAAAGCAGTATCAAGGGTGGTCTTGGCTGACTTAAATCACTGATTTAAATTGTCCTGGCTTAATCAATTCACCTTGAAAGAAAGGAATAGTCCATGAAGATATACCAGCAATTGGGAGAGAATGTAGTGGTTTAATATCAATATTTGTGTTGCTTATTATTGCTACCCTTGAAATGGTCATTGGAGAGCCACTGCGCAGATTAACATTGAGGCTTCAACACCTGATTTGTTGCTAATTGGACTTTTGCTCATGTATGTCTGCTGAAGGAATTATCAGTGACAAATTTAGTGGCATGACTAAAAACTTGGAGCTGTGGTGGCCAAGAAAACCTCTTGTTGCTCCTTACCATTTTACTCATTCATCACGTCTAGCCTGGGTGGTTCACAATTTCTTCAGAGTGAGAAATTGTGAAGTGAGCAAGGGTGTGTGTGTGTGCCTATGCAGATAGACTCTACAATCTGTTCATGTACAATACCTGGAGACTAGGGCCGTTTTAGGGCATCTTCCAAAAAGGAGCCGTCTGTGGTGGCGCAGTGGTTAGAATGCAGTATTGCAGGCTAATTCAGCTCACTGCCAGGAGTTCGTTCCTGATCGGCTCAAGATTGACTCAGCCTTCCATCCTTCTGAGGTTGGTAAAATGAGACCCAGATTATTGGGGGCAATATGCTGACTCTGCAAACTGCATAGAGTGTGCTGTAAAGCACTATGAAGAGGTATACAGGTAGTCCTCAACTTACAACCACAATTGAGCCCAGAATTTCTGTTGCTAAGTGAGTTTTGTCCCATTTTACAACTTTTCTGGCCACATTTGTTAAGTGAATCACTGCAGCTGTTAAGTTAGTAGCCCAGATGTTAAGTGAATCTGGCTTCCCCCTTGCTTGTCAGAGGGTCAAAAAAGGTGATCACATGACCTTGGGACACAGCAGCGGTCATAAATAGGAACCAGTTGCCAAGCATCTGAATTTTGATCATATGACCATGGGGATGCTGCAAAAGTTGTAACTGTGAAAAACAGTCATAAGTCACTTTTTCAGTGCTGTTGTAACTTTGAATGGTCACTAAATGAACTGTTGTAAGTCGAGGACTATCGGTATAAGTCTAAGTGCTATTTCTACCTGAGGAAAACTGGTAGCATAGCTGTCCAGTGTGTATGTTAGTGACGGTCATAAAAATAGAACAGGTGCAGGTCTGGCTTATTGCTCTGATGCTCTGGTCTGAGAACTCAAAGCATTAAGCTCCCAACAAGAAACACATTGACTGTTTTTTATTGGAGAGACTGATGTGATTCCTCTGATGGTGAGTCAGATGCATCATGGATGAGGGCAGGGATTGGCCCAATATATTACCTTTTCTCAACCATCATATCGATAGCAATTTTTTTGGGTTGAATATCAGTGGGCTTCACTGGGGTATCTGAAAGAAGCCCTGAAACAATGCATCATCAAACATTAAAATACATTCATACTGACAGTTTGGCCCTAAAACTTCAACTTTACTTTCCAATTACATACCTAGGTATTTCTACTGGATATTACTCACATGAATATAGACTTAGCTTTCGACAGGAAAATTTTTAAAATATAAGGGACAGATAATTTTAAAAATCTATAGTGATTATATTCCTTGAATGCCAATATTATTATTTGTCGGATGCCAACACCTGTGTACACATCAAATTAAATACTACAAATACTTTCAGAATATTTAAAAATGCCACCATTTGCTTATATATCATAGTTTGTAACAGGCATTGAAGCATCTTCTATATCTCAGAGTGATGAAAAATGTTTAAGCACAAGTGTTTACAGACTAAATTGTCATAAAAAAGTTATGTTATCCTTGTTTCAGTGGTAGAAGTATATTCACATGGTTTTTACATCAGGCCTACTTTTATATTCTCTTCTGCTATCTAAATTCCTTCAACTAAATATTGAATGACAGTAACTGTTACATACCATATGCTTTGTGTAAACTTTTACTATTACAATTTATTTGACAGATAGAAGATTACAGTTAAATCCTGTTCATTGAATAAATTACCAGTTTGCTTCTGGATGGATTTAGCAACAAAGAGCTTTTTGTGTTTTAGTCCACGGATTTGAAGAAAAATAAAAAGCCCAAAGATCTCATCATATGTAACTATGAGAATGAATAAATAAGTTCACTGTGTCACTGAGATTCACTGGCTCTTTAGGAAGTGGGTGTTTTGTTATTTTATATCCTTAAATGTAGGAAACCAGAAACCTTGCTATGAATTGTTAATGCCTCAAACAGGCTTCAAGAGGTTTAGAATAAATTTTCAGCACAGTGGGACATAAGTTGATGTTCTCTATCACAATGTCAAGAGCTCCATTACAAATTCTTTGCTTGTTACATTGAGAACATAGCTGCAAAAATGGGCATGAGGCATAACACACAATAATACAAAAGTGCTTGAAATATCTGAAAACGTTCATAGAAAACTTAAAAGGGTTATTATAAGTGTAACAACATGGATATCATATGTCTGCAAATAAAACCAGAACTCCAAGTCTGCCTCTCATAAAATCTCCCATTTGATTCATGGTCTTGGATTCTTATCTTCAACGTGCATCATAATCATAACCTCTAAGGGACATAGCAGCCAAAAATGAGGACTAAAATCAACAACAAAAATAGCTAACCATGAATGCATTTGCCAAAGTAAGTGTTGCTTGCTCCATATATTTAAATTATTGTCATAAAAATATGTATGTCAATTAGTACCTAATCTCTAGACATTCCATACAATTATAATATCAAAAAAGTCACATGAACTGATTCAACACTGGAATGAAGTCCATAAAATATATTGATCTACATCAGTGGTGGGATTCAAGTAATTTAACAATCCTATTCTTCCCTATTGATTTCTTCCAACAACCAGTTTGCTGAACTGCTCAGAAAGTTAACAACCGGTTCTCCCGAAGTGGTGCGAACTGGCTGAATCCCATCACTGATCTACATACTTTTACAGCAGTAATCACTACTATAGTTTCTGATTTTTCTTGTTTTTCATGTTCCCAGTATATGATGAACTCCTTCATTAAGGATTTAAATATGTAGAAGGGAACACTTTTTGCTTTATATATACATGCACTTTCTAGAAGGGAATATTATACTTCCTGAGAATTATTTTGGAAGAATTTACTTTAAGATTGTGCTAATTAGAAACATTTAATGCAAAATAAAATTATTCTTTTTTTTACTATGACCAAACATAAAAGTTAATGTAGCACAAAAGATCTTGATTATTATGATTATTAAAATTGAAGGAGTGGAAGGATGATGTAACAGTTACTGGAAAATTGACATTAGCAATGCTACAGACCAGTTTATGCTGACATTATTTATTAAAGCCTACAAAATTAGTTGGTGATATGTTTTAATTGTACAATTCAGAGCTGTGGAAGTTTTACAAATTGTGTTTATAATCCTCAGATAACAGCATGTAACATCAAAACCACAGAATCCCAGATTGTGTTAATATGCTGAGCACCGTGCATCACAAAAACTGAGAAAGTTGATACAAAAGTGAAAGAAAGAATGGTAGCACTGCCACAGAAAATGTGGTTAGAAATAACATCCAGCAATGGCTACAGCCACTAACCACTAAGTGTTAATTGGATAGCGCTAACTACTATATTTCAGTTTCCAAAAAACAATAGTTCCTCCCTTCCCTCTCACCATTTTACACTAAAGCCGCTTTACCTATTTGTGTAGTTTATAGACTACTCAAAAACTTCAGTTGTTTCAAAATGCAACAGCCCATGCATTATTTTATATCTGAGCTTCAGGTCCTACATTGGCTTATCATAAGCTCTATGTGCAATTTAGAGAACTGGTTTTGGTGTAGAAGCCCTGAATGGTACAGCACACTTAAAAGTATTTTTAAGACAGCCTTCTGTAAGGAAAAAATGGTTGACCTGATAAGATTTGGGGAAAAATTGTTTCTATTTCCCTTTTACGATGAAGTCGGGAAAACTCAAGCCAGATGGAAGAACTTTTTTATAATGATTCCTATATTATGAAACAACCTTTCCCAAGAAACTACATTAGTCCTAACAGTTTTTGACTTATGGAAGCAAGTGAAGCAGTGGTCTTCTAGAGAGCTTTTTTTAATTAGCTGACAGAATGTCATAGGAATGTTTCCATTATTTCAATTGGGTTGGTTTTAATTTTTCTGTAAAACCTGTCATAATTAATGTGAACATTTTATTAAATTCATAATATTTTTGTATATGGCTTAGATTCATATGATTTTGGCAGCTTAGAAATCTAATAAATACATAAAATGAAATCCTTATTTAATAGTTCATACAATATGAGCCAGACCTTACTGCTGTTAGGTATATTCACAGCTGAATCTACAATAAACAGAACAACATACCACACAAGTCTTGAATGGCTTCTTGTCATAAATCCCATGCTCATTCTAAAATTATTTGGACAAAAAAGTTAAAGGAAATATCTACCAGATTGCAACTATAGTTAATAAATTGTTAAGAAATACAAGGGAGGATATAATTTTGAAATTATGATGACAAGTTGAAACACTATCCTGAAACCAATGACATGAAATTCAAAGGTTTCTACTTCAATAAGATACAAAAAAAAAATTATAAGGTAATGACTAGAAGAAAGAACAGTTTGACAGCAGGCAATGTACAGATATAAGACTCATAGTTGAGTATGAACTATTAATACCATATAGCTGATTAAAAAATGAAGTGAATCATTAGTCTGGACTAATATAAAAATAATATCCAGATTATAAAAGGTAATACTTTCAATCTATTCTGTATCAGAATAGATTACATATAAAGTACTGGAGCAGGAAATATTTAAGAAGAGAAATCAGGTTGCATCTTATACTGCAGACATCTTCAAGCTCTAAGATTATACTCTTACTGAATTCACAACATGGATTCATTGTATGGAACATTTATGTATTGATTTACAAAATAGCCATATTTATTTATTTTATTTATTTATTGAATTTATATTGCTGCCTATTCGCCCATGGCGACTCAAGGCGGCTTACAGAATATAAAGCATTTAAAACAATAAAACTAATAAATTAATATAGTATAATATAATAAAATCAGCCCTCCACCACCCGCCCTGGCAACAGCAGATCACACGAGCCATTTAATGGGCTCCATCCCACTCTGGGTTCCCCAGGCCCGCTGGCAAAACCAGGTGTTCAGTGCCTTCTGGAAGAGTATTAGAGTGGGGCCATTCTAATCTCTGGGGGAATGATGTTCAGAGAGAGGGAGCCACCACAGAGAAGGTCTTTCTTCTGGGTCCCACCAGGTGTATCTTCCTCGGGGATGGGATCCGCAGCATTCTCTGCCTCCCTGCTCTGATGGGTCGGGTAGATGTGACCGCAAGAGACGGTCCCTCAAATAACCTGGTCCCAAGCCATGACGGGCTTTAAAGGTGAGAACCAGCACCTTGAATTGCACCTGGAAGCAAATCAGCAGCCAATGCAGCTTCCGCAGGAGAGGTGAAATGTGCACACCTGGGTCTGCACAGTAGCATGCGGACTGCTGCATTTTGCACCAACTGGAGGTTGGTATATCACTTTACCTATACTGTTCACTCAAAAAAGCAGAAATATCAGAAGACACAGAAAGATACCCATCTTACCTGATAGTACCTGGATGTAGCTGATTTTCAAAAAACAAGGGAGGAGTCTTTAGAACAGTGGCTGAATTCTGCAAAAGTGCCTTTTCTTCTTGGCTCTAATAGGATAAGGATAAGCAATGAATCAGGGGCTAACTCTCATGCCACTAATGTTGAAATCTAAATACTGAAATCCTTACTTTGAATTATAACTTGCCACACAATTTTATGTATATTATGCCTCTCATTATATCACTACATCTTGATGCACTGAAATGGCAAACTCAAGTTTCAAACTTTCTCATAGTTCAGTTGATTAGATGATTAGTCACTTGCCTAGAATTTTATACAGTTTAAGATCTGGGAAGTTAAAATGCTTTATTAGAAGAAGTGGAATGATTACTAATTTTGTGTCATGTTAAGGAGGCAGAGTCTGCATTGAATACTTTATCAAACTCAGATATCCCAATCTTGTTTTCAGCTGACAAATGTAAACATTATTCTGAAAGTGAAAATAAAGACACCTAAATACCTGCAAGCTTTTTGTTTCCTCAGACCACCAAGCTTCAAAATCTTTTTGCAACTTCAGTTTTGCTTTTTCCATGAGGAGCTGCAAGTGTTCAATCTCTATCTTCAGCCCTTTCAAGTGAGTAAACATTGTTTTATAACTGCAAAATGGAAAAGAAAATGTTATTACAGAAGATGCAACAAATCTGTTGCAACTAAAAAGCTGTTATGTAGAACTGAACTGAACATCTCTCACCATTTGATATCTGCTCACACATTGCAAGTTGGGAAATTGATTTATTACTTGTTGGGTATTTCTCTCTTGTTTATTATTTTTTTGTAAAAAATTATAAAGTCTGCTAAACTTATCATGTAGGATATGAATAGAAAAGGCTTTCCCCAAATATTAGCAACTTACTCATCTGTCAAAGAAATGCCCATTGAAGAGGCCAAATTCTCACTGAATAAATGAATACATGTTCATGAATTAGACCCTTTTGGTAAGCAGGTACTCTCCAAGTCTATTCTCAGAAATTGTCCCTAAATCTGGAGAAGGTCTCTGAGAACTCAAGCTTATCCAGTTCTATAGAAGTGCTTGCCTGACTGTGATCTCCTCTATAGTTCTTTGATTTCTGTCTCACCCTACTGTTTTGGATTTTCTCATGTGACCTTGAACTACCTTTGGTCTTTGCCTTTAGAACAATGTTCAGCTGTTCTCTTGCCAGCTTTCCACTATTTCTGTGTTCCAGTTTAGCAAAAGACCCAAAGCAACCAATTGGCACTAAGGTTTGGGGAGACTCTTCTTGAAAAGGGACTTTAGCTAATTATGGGACAAGAGAATATTTAATATCTTTTTCTAGCTAAATCTATGTTTTCCCATTGCTGAAATATGGTCCATGTATAGACAGGTATTAAGCTAACTTAATAGAATATATGTTATATACAGTATATGAAATGTACACATTATTTAGTATTCAGCAACTTATTGTATACAAGAAACATACATACTTAGTTAAGTTTTTAACATATATAATAATCAAGCTAAGAGAACCTTATTTTCTTCTGTTCAATTTGTGTTCGAAGTGCCTCTTCTACTGGATCAGGTTGATTCATTTCTCGAGGACTGATTAGAGCTGCAAATTAAAATCACTCAATGTTAATAATTACATAAATAAAGCCAAGGATACAATTTAAATTGTGGATTTCTCCCTCTCCCCCTTAAAAAGAAATGGTATAAAAAGCATAGAGTGATGTATAAAATACTCTTTTCCAGTTTTCTTCCCATAACCAGCCTATGAAGTAGGCTGAGACAAAGTGTGGCCCCAGGTTATTCACTGAACTTCCATGGCTGAGGATGGACTTGTATCTGTCTCCCCTTTGTTCAATAGAAAGTACATTATATAATATTAATTCTATATGAATTATTTGTTCCAATTCATCTCTTAAATTCTCCTCCAACTTGTCTCCAACAAAATTATTTTGCTTTTAATATTACTATCTTGCATTTCTCCCAGTGATGCTGCTGAGAAAATACCTCGGATTTCCTTTACTATGTGCTTTATTTCCTTTACAGTAAATTTTTTTCATATTTTTTCTGTTCTTGGCAAAGACATTATACAGAGTTGATGAAGTGAAGATATTGAATTAATAATTCATAAATGTATATAAATATTTTCTTAGTAAACGGAAGAAATAATGTCATCTTTTAATAAACTATTTTATTTATTTATTTATATTTATTTATTTATTTATTTTTATTTTTATTTGATTTATATGCCGCCCTTCTCCGGAGACTCAGGGTGGCTTACAGTGCATTAAGCAATAACCTTCATACTTTTGTATATTTTATACAAAGTCAGCTTATTGCCCCCATAAACTGGGTCCTCAATTTACCTACCTTAGAAAGGATGGAAGGCTGAGTCAACCTTGAGTCTGGCAAGATTCGAACTTACTTTAATTGCAGACAGCTGGTGTTAAATTACAGTGCTTAGTGAACTTGCTGATCCCTATGGAAATCTTGCTTAATATTTCCCCACTCCATTAAGTAGTAGTGGATCGTTACATGCCCTTCCAGTTTTTTCTTTCAGGAAAGTGATTGACAGTTCCCTTTTGGAGCTGGGAATGAAACTCTTATCTCAAATGACTGGGAAAATGATGGGATTTCAGTTATTAAAATAATAATAAAATAAATAATAAAATAAAACAACAAAAAAAAAAATGAAGAGCATTTTTAAAAAGTTCACAAAAATAATACTGACTACTGTATAGATCTGCAATAGAAGGGATAAAATATGAAAATATTAGAAATAGTGGTGAACATTGGCTCAGTTGAAAGGTCTTTCCTGCCTCTGCAAAATAACCATTGAACTATTGCAACTAGTAAAATGAAAGTAAAATGCTCCAGTGTAAATGGACAAGCAAAGGTAAGTTAAGGTAACATAAAGATAAGTGCCTGTAACAGGAAAATGTATATGGAGGTTGGATTCACGATGAGAGGGAAGAGAATAAAGGCTGGCATTCATTTCTGACTTCAGAAAGTGGTTCCTGTCTCATACTGGCAATGGGTCAACCAGATAGTATGGCTCAGTTTATGGTCATCTGAAACAAGAAAGGCACTCACTTTTCTCCTCACTTTCAAACAGCAGGATTTCAGAGAATGGAGGGAAAAAGTCTTCTCCAGAATCCAGAGAAAAGACAAGTTGTATTTTTTTTAAAAAAAAAAATCAGGGCAAGTTACTTGTTCCTGATATAAGTGAATGTAACAGAGATTAATCTTATTTGTAAAACTTAATTTTATAATTAAAAACAAATTAAAAACAATACACAAATCTAATCAGTGCACACCCACAAAGGATGACAGATAAAAGAGGCTATTCTGATCCGGAGAAAATGAATCAGCTCTAGGTACAGTTCTTTCATCTACTTAAAAATATTTAAAAAGCATTTTTATATGCTTATATTTGTCAGATGTTTTCTTATGGAGGAGATATGATTTGAAGGTTAAAACTTGACAAATTCCAATAAATAATCTTTGGACAACATCCCTTCCATCTGCTTTTGTTGTAAGAAAAACCATATGCCATTTTATGCTATCAATGTGATAGCCAGGATGATGTAGTTAGACTAGGACTATGAAGACCTACATTCAAGTCATGCTTCAGACAGGGCAGCTAGGTGCTCCTGGTTGCTGGTATTTCTGAGCTAACGCACTCCATGTTTATGGAGAAGGAATAGGAAGGTTGCTATGTATACTGTGTGAGCTCCTGGAAGAAAGGCACCAATTTTTTTTTAAAAAAGCTATATATCTTTAAAAGTTTAAAATCCAAAGGTTCAAGAGACAAAGAAATGGAATATTAAACAAAATTTAGAATCAGATGTCCAGTCAGCATCTGCTAACGGACATTTATAGGTGTCAGCAATAATACAATAAATGCACTTTAAGCCTTTTCTGTTTGGTATCTGCCTTCAGACTCATCCCAATCCTGCCGGCTTTTTCCAAGGCCTTAAAGATCTGCTTTTAACAAGCTTGACGCCCTGGGGGTGTGGGTGAGCCCATTTCTTGGCTGTGTTAACTGGGATGATTTTTAGTGTTGTAGATCGGTTGCTCAGATGCTATTCATGTTATTTGTAATTTATTTCTTGTTTTTAATTGTTAGTTGCCCAGAGTCATGTACAATATTTGAGGAATAAATCAACATAGATGAAATACATAAATATGCCAGTCATTCATCAAATATTAACAACTAATAGTCTGATCTGGGACAAGCATATGAACATCTCAGATAATTTTCATGCCTACATTTACTTTAAATGTTATTTTTTAACTACATTATTACAACTAAAAAAAGAAAAAGGGAAGCAAGCTTAACTGTATTAGAAATTATTCTGGAAGACATTTGAACAAATTACAGACACTGTAACATTGTGAAATTTTTGCAAAAGGCACTGGGAATCAATAATATAAGTAAAAATGAGGAACCCTTTGCTTCTAGACTCAAAATAACAGTATGCCAACGAGACAGTGCAAAACTGAAAACATACTTGTTGGCAAACAAGCTTCTTTTTATGCTTCTTACTTTATTTTTGTGTAATAGAGCTGTTTTGTTCCTATTGTTATGCTTTACATACCATAAAGTTTTATTTCATGCTAACAACATATTGTTTTTCTGAATTGCCCCACACTAGTTTTCAAGCATTTTCTAAAAGTCCTTCAAATGACTTTTTGTTTGTCTTCCATATGAATATTTTTTGTTTAAAGGAATTAGTCTTTGTTCCTTCTTCTTTCAAGATGATTAAAAAAGCCCCATTAGTACAATGTTCTTGCATCTGGCTGAAACAGTGTCTTTCCCAAAACCTTTGAAAGAGATTCAAAGAGTTAAAAAAAAAAAGATGAATAGTTTTGAGACATTTTTATGGCCATGTGTGTGAAAAAGTCACATTTGGAAAGTGCCTAACTTTCCCTGCATCAGGAACATTTTGTATAAACCTAAGATATACAAATCCATAGTATGTAAGATTCTTAAGTTGTTTTTCTGTTCTGCTTTTCATTTATGCCCGAATAAAAACCACAACATAGTTATTAGATTTTATCACAACTATTTTTCAAGGACTACAGCAGCAACATTCTTAGAACTTGGCCAATCACCAACTGAAAAGGATATTTATTTAGAGAATACTATGCCAGTAAAATAACATTAACCTCACCAAATTTCAACTTCAAGAGTATTATAAATCAGACCTGCTGAACCTAAGATCTGCAGCATTTTTGCTGGGGCCCTGTTCAATCTCTTTGTGATCTCATGGTGCTTCCCTACATCTTTACAGAAGCATCTTAAGGTTTACCCAGCCACTCAAATGTACAATGTGAACAGGAGAAGGCTCAGATTGCTATGTTATCTTTTTTCTAAACTGAGACATGTGCAGCGGAGTTGGTACCAGTTTTCCAGCCTGTTTCACATTTTAGTTATCACTCCAGACTTAAACTAAATAATAAATTAAATATATTAGTTACAGAAACAGAAATGGAAATGAAACAGAACAGTAGTGGGGAAAGAGACAGGAAAAACAAATGGAGGCTCACAGAGATATGTGGGTAGAAAGCAGTGAGAAATAGAGAGAGGAGGAGGGAGAGGAGAGATACAATCACCCAATTTAAACAATAGATGACACAGTAAACCAATGTTTGGACATTACTAGTTCAGATTGTTGGTAGAAGCTAGAAGGTAGGGAAGAAAAGAAAGAAAGAAGTGATAAAGTACCATTGTTGATAACAAAAAGAAAAAAGAAAAGGGAAAGGAATGATACAACAATGAATACTGGGAAATAATGTATCAGAGATGCAAGGAAAAAAATAGAACAAATTAGAAAGGAAACTTTTCAGCTGAATTTATAACAAATATTCTGCAAAAATTAATTTAGTGAGGCTGACATTTTGAATTGCTAAAAATTTAAAAATGACTCTCTAATGTGCATTGCTTACCTCAGTTATATGGAACTTTCATAGATTTGAGAGATATAATCAACTTTAATCTGAATTTACAATGAAGCAATGTTTTTTGTATAAATATACAATCATGTGTCTTGTTTAGACATTACTCGACTGAACCTTTAGACATAAATCTTCACCTCTGAGCAACTACTGTAGTTGATCTGTTTATATATCTACACCAGCCACTAGAATTTATCCACAATTACATCAGAAGTGTTCCATTTGCTTAGATAAAACTGGTAAATCTATGAAATTGTATAGTATCTGAGTTATCTAATAAAGTATGCAATTTGTACATGTATATCATTTAAGATTAGATCAATTTTTCTTTATTGAAAGATGCCATATTACAACTTGATAATATAATTCCAGGAAGAAATTTTAACCATCTTTCTTTCCTCAAAATATCTATTCACTGGATTCAAAGCAATATCTCCAATGACAGCCAAATGAGGAAGCCTTGCCATACACTTGGCAACTACTGAGGCAGCCATAATTTTCTCTGAAACCTGACATGAGCTAGAAAAGTAGAGCTATGTATAAAATTCAGAGGAACACTTCCATTCATCTTTACCTTGCCTTTATAATTAATTTATTTTATACTCTAATTTCCACTAACGAGCAGAATTTTAATAAATATTCTAATGTACATAATAGTCTTCCCCAACCCGATGCCTTAAAGTATGATGCAAATTTAACTTCTAAAAACCCTGCCATTCTGGCTGTAACTTCTGGGAACTGTTGTCTCAACACATGTGGAAAATGTCAGTTTGAAGCAGATAGCTGTAAAACATCAGTGTGAACACTATTGATAATAAACGCTGAGTAGAAATATACTATTACTAATTAAAGCCATTAATGTATTTGTTAATTTAGCTTCTCATTTTCCCAGAATGCCAGTTTTCTCAGACCTATTCCAGTATACCCAAATCGAAATTATTGGGTAACACGTTTAATTGTAAGCTGCCCAGAATCCCCACAAACTGCAAGATGGATGGCACATAAATTTAATAATTATAAATATTAATTATAATAGATTAATAGTTACTTTCATATATCTAATTGAAGCACATAATTATTACAATTGTTTTTATAGGTTACGTGAATGCATTGCTCCCTACCTCTGCCCCTAGATCATGAATCAGTATGTTCAACTCAAGTTTAACACACAAGCAATTATTTTAATGAAATAAATTTATTTTCTATGCCTTTTCATTTTTCCTCGCATCGCTGTTTTTGCGGATTTCCTGCCAATAAATTCATTTGCTATGGCACTGAAGAAATATGAAGCCTTTAAGATTTAAATCAGTCAGAATAAATTCTATTTTTCCCTAAAGCAAAATATTCATGGAATGTTTTGAGGTGCATAGTCAGATATGTTACAAAATCTTGTTCCAGAATTAATGGAAAATCTATGTTCTTAACAAACATCATCTGAACAACCTATTTTTTTAGTCTCAGAATTTCAAGAGTAACTGTTAAGGATAAGTAATTCCAATTACTTTATTCTACACATAAAAATATTGGAAAAAAATCTTTTTATATAGGAGGAATGCTCTAAAATGCTTCTAGGAGTCACTATTGAAAATAATGATAAACAATATCTATAAATATTTAGCTAACACAGACAGATGTTGGTTGTTATTATTTCAATTTGAAACACAAATATTCAAAATAGCAGAATGTACTATAGCACTGAAATGAAATTAACTATGATATACTGAAATAAATCCAACTCATATTCAGTCTTCACATGCACCATCATCACTCCCCCATGTTGCTGCTCCACCATAACTTCCTCTTGGCCACATGAGTGGCATGTGACCTTGTCACTTGTTCAACAAAAATCAGGAAAAAAAAATGAGTTCATGTGTATTTCCATATTTGATAAAATGTTCTTATTGCAGGAGTAATGTCCTTTACAGAAAATAGTCTCTGATGATGAAATGAAAATGTTTTGTAATAATATATAAATATATCACAGCAATATTAATAAACATTAAGGAAAGGTTTTCAATTTTTTTAGTGTAAACTAAGGTGAACAATCTGCAACCTTAGGACCAGTGGTGAGTTTCTACTGGTTCGCCCTGGTGGGAGGCTCTACCCACCCGCCCGGACGTCATCACAGACGCTTTGTGCAGGTGCAAAAGCGCTGCATGTGACCAAAGTGCGCACATGCTTGCACTCACAGTTCCAAACTGGTAGCGAAGGTAAGTGAAACTCCGTAATGCTTAGGACCATATGTATCTCTCAACTAATTTAAGAAAGCTCTTAGCTGAGTTTCAAAAGCATTTTACAAAACTCCCTCTTCTGTTGCTGTCTATGACAAGCGAAATAAGAGAGTATCAGAAATAGAAAAAAGACAAGTCAAAATAAAGATATATATACACCCACATGTATATGTTTTGACTCGTCTTTTTTCTATTTCTGATACTCTCTTAGATTACACACACATACACACACACACACATTGTATCTGCTACTATCAGCTTTAATCTTATCCACTAGGGACCTGTGGCCCCCAACAGATGTGGATATCCAAAGACAAAGTTTCCTCATTTCTTGGTCAAAATTCTAATTGTATCTAACTAATTATTTCAATCTGTCTAGCAACCAATATTTGTGACAGACAAGTCCTCTTAGAAGTATGACTTAATTGGCTGGGCTCAGAAGTTTATTAGCCTTCCACACACCACAGATCTTTTAGACATAAAATTATCAAAATGGTATACACAGTTCACCTTCCCTTAATCCTCAGATCACAGTAATAAAGATGTGTCATAATGTCATGCCTCCATGTACAGGACTTTCTATTAGTTCCACCACTACCTTCCAGGGGGGAAGAAAATTTCTACTTTTTTATACACCGTATATCTCCTGTGTTGTTTCTATTTTAGTGACTAGAAGGAGGGAGGCATTATGTGACCAGTCTTATCACAATTTGAATTTATGGAACATAGGTAGGTAGATGTTATGCTATGGGCTTCAAATCCTCAAATCAAGAATTGAACTGAAGGATTTTGGGCACAAAATCAGTCATACAATGCCTCTCTCCTGCTAGTCAATGTAACTAGATACAAAAATGTTGCATTGACCACTACCTATCTATGATCAGTGTACAATAGACAGAGAAAACCATCAATATAATCTAGAATCCTAATCTTAACCAACATTTAATAATTGTTGGGTTTATCTTGTCATCCACAACAAATTTTTGGAAATTTTCTTTTGGTCCTTTGATATAATTGTAGTTTGTTCTTAGCCCTTCAAATGGCTGGGAATGGGACCATAATACTTTTTATTCTGTATTCTGAGTAGGAGTAGATACAGAATAATATCCTGCAGGAGTATGTTACTAGGAAATGCCAATCATTTATCTAACCATCAGTCATCTGGCATGCAGAGATGGCACGAGAAGAATCTCTAGATAAATCATCTTTCTAAAAAACAGAAAGGGCTGAATATAAAACTATTGTTAAATGAGAATTCTGCATCCTAAGGATATCCCACTGAGAAAATAGATTGCTATTATTCAAAATGTTTGTAATTTGTCTCCATCAAGAAAGGCACTTAAAATAAATAAAAAAGATAGCTAAAAATATTAACACCAAGATCCCCAATGGAAACATTATCTTGAATTTTATCCTGGGGTTTTAAAATATAGTTATGTTTACTAAAAAGAGTTTTTTTATTACGTCATACTTTTACAGTTATCAAGACAAATCAGAAGAATAGACACTTGATTTCATTTCCCAGAGCACACTAAGCAAATGACAATACTTAAGTCACATAATAAATATCAGCCCACAGTGTTACAATAAATTTAAAAGGACGAATGAGCTTTAAAAAAACAATCTTGGAAGATGCAAAATTAACAACTACATGTCTGGTGTTAACATAGGAGACGTATGATTTCCCATTGATATATATGAAGAATATATAAAGAAAGTTTACCGAATTATACTAATGGCACATAAATTATTATACGGTCAATATCTGCTCAAAATTGCCAGTTATGCATGATCCTGAAACAGACTACTTAACATTTATTCCATGTAGTATTTCCCACATCAGCTTCACAGAAGAATGAGAATCATAAACATTTGAAAAAGCTCCATGTATTTAAGGGGATGCTTGCAAACATCTGATTGCACTTGCTTTCTTCGTCTGCTCTCATAGATTGTAGTGTCACAGTTCATCCCAGGATAATGTTTAACAAAAACAAACCTAGGCATAAATCAGCATGACCCAAATGACCTCAGATGATTAACGCCATAACTTGCGGAAAAGAGCAGCCCTAGTGAAATTTAAACAGCTAAATCTGCTGCTGCTGTTGCTAATGTGAGTTTGGTGGGACATTTGTCTACAATGAAGGAAGAAAATGTGAAAATTTTCTTGCATGAATTATAACAATATGAAAGAACAGGCCCCCCCACCCCAAAGATTAACACTATGTGAGCTTCTACAAACAAATACCATTGGAGAAAAGATTTTATCCTGGAATATTATATTTACCTTGTGCTGCCTTTTGCATATGCCTCTGGATTATCTCTTCTTTCAGATGATCTGTGCGAAAATCAGAATCCAAATCACTTAAGAGAACTTTCAGCATCTCAGATTTCAATTTTTAAACAATAACTTTGCATACTTTTTGCAATAGTCCCATTTACTCCTATACTTTGCATATTCCGTTACATTGACCCCACAGATTACTAATAAAGAGATTTCTATCTTTATTTTGACATGCTAATATCTTTAGAAACACTGGTACATATTTTGAAAATAAATATTCCCCGAGAATGGAAACGGGTGTTTGTTAAACTCTCTCTCTCTTATTTTTTTTTTTTTAAATTTGATTTATATGCCGCCCTTCTCCGGAGACTCAGGGCGGCTTACAATGCGTTAAGCAATAGCCTTCATACTTTTGTATATTTATACAAAGTCAGCTTATTGCCCCCACAAACTGGGTCCTCAGTTTACCTACCTTAGAAAGGATGGAAGGCTGAATCAACCTTGAGCCTGGCGGGATTCGATCTTACTTTTAATTGCAGACAGCTAGTGTTAAATTACAGAGCTCTGTCTGTTGAGCTATCCAGGCTCTTTCTCTTTCTCTTTCTCTCGCGCCATATAATTTTGAGTGAGAGATAATTTTGTAATTGTATTTATATTTGTTGCAAAATAAATCAGTGGTTTCTGATGGATGGGAGTGGGGAGAAAGGGAAAGGGTCAGGGAGAGAGAAAGAAAAAGGGAGATAGAGACAGAGATAGATACACATGAAAGTCTGCAAGTCAAGCAACCTATAATCTCAGGAAATCATTGATAGCAGTAATGGAAATTCAATATTACCCTCAAATAATAACATATTTCTTTTTTATATACTTTTTTGATTCAAGATTTACAAAATACATAAGCAATAAACAAAAAAGAAGAAAAAAAGCAAAATGTGCAGAAAGAATAAAAAAATTGAAAGAAGTTTCTGATTTCCTTTGCAAGAAATATAGCTACCATTACAAAATTATCTCTCACTCAAAATTATATCTTTCTCAAATTACTATGATTACAAAAAGGCTCACTTTTTCTATTACCCAGTTATTGTTTTTTAGTAATCAAACCACAAATCATAGGGGATTTTTTCTGTTTCATGCAAAAAGTCTATACGGGGTTTCCAGGCAATCATAAATGTATTTTATTCCTACTAAAAAGTTAATTTAATTGTTCTGGTAAATTCTATCATCTTCACCAACAATTCTTTTATTGTAAGTAGTGTAGAATCTTTCCACATCTGAGCATATAATAGTCTTGCTGCAGTTTCATAAATAAAGGCAAAGTTCCATTACTTTTTTTCTAGTTGCTTATTCATTAGTAATAGCACTTAGGCTTATCTACTGCTTCATAGTGCTTTACAGCCCTAAGCAGTTTACAGAGTCAGCATATTGCCCCCAACAATTTGGGTCCTCATTTTACCCACCTTGGAAGGATGGAAGGCTGAGTGGGCCTAGTGGGATTTGAACTGCTAAATTGCAGTCAGCCGGGAGTCAGCAGAAGTAGCCTGCATACTATACTCTAACCACTGCGCCACTGAGATTCTTAGTAAATAATAGCATATTCCAAAAGCTACTATAGTGTATGTAGTATCTGCTTCTTTTAATGTGAAATGCTTGGGACTCAATCTGTTTCTACCATTAAGCTATAATGCATCTCCTCATTTGAGTGGTAGTCCCTTCACCAGAATTTTGCCTGGCTGTGAATTTGCTAGCAATATATACTCCGGAATCTGATCTTCTGGTTTTCTTTTGATCGTTCAATAGTTCCTAGACATATTCTATACAAATTTTCATTCCTTTTGTCAGACATTTTTAAGGAATAAATTTTTGATAAACACCATCTAAAGCAGTATTGGAGAAATTATTTTTATATCTATCACTTATCTTTTTTTAAAAAAATAAAAAGAGCATTTCTTTATGAATAGATAAAACTCTAAAACCCAAGCCAGTTTGCTTGTCATAAAAATGAACAGCTTTCATACTTATATTCTACATTGGATTATAGCTGGAAGAGAAAAAGATATAACAATGTGAAGGGTTGAAATTATCTTGACAATTTCATTGTAAACAATGTTTTTGTTAATGCTAAAAGATCCATGCTAATTCCTAGCTTCCTGGGCAACATATATGGTAAATGTGAGAGACAAAATATTTCAGAATAAGTCTTAATTATGGCTATTTTCATGGAAAAAATGTTTTGGCTAAAATATATGTCTTTATTCTATGTGTTACATGAAAATAAATAATGTACACATGAGAACAATTTCATGAGAACTTATTCATAAAGGAAAAAGAAGACAAAAGGAGGCCAAAATGATAAATGTCTGAAAGGCTTTTCCAGAGGGATCCATGAGAGGGAGGAGCAAATGATAAAACATGTCACATGATGCCCTTGCCCCAGACATACGGGTGCAAATATGTGCACTTTATCATTTTGACATAATCTTATTTGCTATAGATATATAAGTGCAATTTCCTCTATATAATATGGAATGGCCATTATATTGTTACATAAAATTATGTCTGAAACGGAATAATTAATAACTGTACTATTTAGAAATAAACATAGATATTACAAACATAGTTTTAAAGCATGGAAGGGTAAAAATAGTAATAAAATTTTAGAAAAAAATGTAATTTTGCAAGATATCCAGCTGGAAATTGAAGACTGGAAAATATAACTGATTAGAATTGTCTAGCATGTATTTAAAAATGTTGTATATGAGAATGTTTTAATATAGTTAGCTCAGAAAATTAAATCCAAAATTAATCCCAGAACCCAAATGTTGTGCTTTATACTGGAGACCTAAAATATCAAAGGTGAAAGGAATACCAGTGATCTGCTACAAATTTATGAATAACTTTGATTTCATTAGGAATTAAACAAGGTAATTGATTACACATGTGCACTGAGATTAGGTACAAAACTATTACTAACAATATCCTGCAATCAACTTGGTTCAATTTTGCCACCCCAAAATAATACTGATGTCTGAAAATAGGCTCTAGATTCTGTTTAGCTCTATGGCTAAAACATTTGCTGACAGAAGTACAGTACAGTATATGCATATAGTATCACAGTTGGGCTTTTCTATCATGCAATTTTTGTTTGATGAGTTTATAAAACCTTTTCTATGATTAAATATTCCCTGAATGGAATGGACAAAGGGAACATGAAAATATAACAGGGTTCAATTTTGTATAACAATTTCAATTTGTGCCGCTGCAAATATGTCGAATTCTACCACTGCTGGCAATATATTTTATAAAGAGGTGTACAAAATGTTTCAAAGTTGAAACACCTCTAAAATACCCTGTTCCAACTATGGAACAGAATGTTACAATATCAGTGAAAGTAATTTCATGACAGAAGAGCTTGTTCTAACCCTACCTTTTCAGAAGTACACTGACCTGAGAATAAGCCATTCTCACCTTAATTTGGTGGTTGGAACATTTTTCCTTTTGAGGTCAGACTATAACTGATAAGGTTAGAAGAAACAGTTCTAATGTTGAAATAATTTTAGTGAGATTGGACTAGAATGTTTCAAAATCAAGATATTTCAAACTTGAACCTTTGAAAGTTTTGTACATCTTGTAAAGCTCAATGAATGTTAATACAAACCTCCTTCATTAAAATTATCAGACATGTTCAGAAATTTTAGTGTTAGAACTGAGAAGTACTGGTGGAAATGTATTGTCCATTTCATATAATTCATAGCATCACAGAATCAAGGGATCTAAGAGGTGAAGTCCAACAACAGCAAATTCACTACACCATACCCAGTAGCTGACCATCCAGCCTCTGTTTGAAAACCTCCAGTAAAGGGGAAGAAGTGGTTCCTTGCAGTCACCTATTCTATTGATTGACTGTTCTTACTGTCAAGAAGTTCTTCCAAATTATCTAATCTATATATACATCCTTGATGTTCCATCTCCTTAGGTCTAGTCTTACGCTCTGGAGCAAATGAGAATAAGTCCAACCGCCCCTAAAATATGATAATCCTTCAGATATTTTAAAACCCTATCAATCTTCTTTTCTGCAAGCTATATATATTTAGTTTTTTAACAGTTCCTTGTAGAATTTGCAATTACAGTGTACTCTTCTACAGAATATCCTCAGGAGGCTCACTGACCTTGAAGGAGTGTTAGATGGGAGTAGTAGCAATTTTGGGAAAAGCTAGAAAGAATTCCTGTCACCAGCAAGTTTTAATGTAACAGCTGTTCAAACCTTCTTAGGTAAACTTTATTGAAATTAAGTGTTTGAAAAAGGTACAAAACAGGGGAAAGAGCATGATGATAACGGCAGCTTCCTTTTTAAAAAATATTTATAAATGACTGAGTATGCCCTCTTCTATACCCTTAATATTGTACAGTATTATATAAACAAAAACAGATGTTTAATAGCAAACATTAAAAAACCCCATATACTCTGACTCATATTCCTTGTTTCTGTTCTGGCTCAATTAAGAACAAAGAGCCAGTTAAATTAATGTTTCATCTACATTTAGGACTTTGAAATGTTTAGAAAACAGTTGACTTGAGAACATTTTTAAAACATGTAATAAATATGGCTCTTAAAAAAACAGCCTGCTTATACTGGCTCTCCAGTAATTGGACATTTAATTAACTGGTACATTGCATCCAAAAGCCATATTGATGCAATTAGAGCCCAACTGAAGATTTGCAAAACAATTGCAAGCTTTTGTGTCTCTAATAATCAGGCAAGACAGTTAAAATCCAAGTGAAAAAGGAATATTGGGAGCTGAAAGCATAAGTAAAGGGTGGTGAAACCTGACCTGGCAATAATAGGTATGAAAGGGATTTGGGTATCCTTGTCAACCACAAGTTAAGCTTGAGATAACAGAGTTAGTCAGCTGCTAAAAAAAAAAAATGCTATCTAGGATGCATTAACAGGAGCACCAAGTCAGATTATGGAAAGTAATTATTCCCCTTTCCTCTACCAGACCACATTTCTCTGAAAATGGGTACCATAGTTCAAAAAGTGCCAAACTATATAGCAA